GATGATCAAGCCGCCTCATGGAGCCACAATGATGGAGCCCCTAAGTGGCCCGTTGTCAAAACCGTGAATTAAATACAAAATTAAATCACCACATTACCTTAATGAACTTCGAAGATGTTTCTATTTACAGTCCATTAGTAAGCATCGAGAAAATTACCTGAGATTTGACCGTTTTTACACGATCTTTTAAAATTTTTAATTGACAAGTTGGAAATAGCTCGTTTGATCAATACAAGTTTGAGGTCAACTTTTTTACAAGGCATGGTGCTACGAGTAATGCCACCAGTTTAGTAAAAGACGTTTCGACATGCATTTCATGGAGCCCTCTATAAAAGCACCCATGACAAGGACTTAGTTTTTGCATCCTAGGATAAATAAGCCTAATGTCACCCTACAATCGCGTCTGCAATGTTTACCAAGTTTAGAAGCGTTTTTTGCATTGTCTTTACAATCTGTCTGGAAGTGCGGTTTCACCTCTGTTTGAAATAAGCTCCACTACAAAAGCTAGTGAGGAACTATACCTAGGATAGTGATTCTTTATGAAGTGATAACTAGATGATGGGCAGACAGTATTTGAAAACCTTAAATCGACCCGCGGCAAGTGGGAATTAACTTTGCAAGTAAGAATTATGGCTTTACTTAATCGCTGTAGACACGTACTAGCCTTACTTAAGTGAACGTATAAAGCAGATAGATGATGCTGTTAGTGAGCTGTCACCTCATCGAACCGTGGTTGGGTTGAATTTCAGCAAAACGAAGAACTACCGAGGTAGTCTCTTGGACCACTCAGACTGCCAACTTAGCACTTACGTCCCATACTTTGCCCAACGACTTCGAAGGCCTATCAACGAACGGTTTGAAGTTGTTGAGGCACACATGACAGCAACGTTTATATTTGCCCAAAGAGAAAAGTACGCTTACGCAGCACAATATAAAGAATTTCTTGTACACATAAAAATATTCCAATGCTCCTTTTACAAAAAGAATTGGAAGATTAACGCATAATTGTTATAAGGTTTACACATTTAAGACTATTCGCTATTCACGCTTCAGTGGACCGCAAGTAGATGCAGATTAATTTAAAAGTATTTATTCAATTACAATTGTAAGATATTCATTTTCATTGCGAGTTTATACCTGAGTGGAAAATTTAGTCCAGCTGCAATTTCTGGATTGAAAAATTTGGACCTTTCAGGCTTCTTTTTTTCTTGATATCGTACAGTATATAAATCATGTTTTTGCTGCAAATTGTCCTTCATATTTCTTTGTATGATTTTTGAATTTGTTTAAACTGCTATTATCAACACCTAAAAGCAATTAGCTTTCCTCACCAAGTGGTGGCATCGAATATCACACCACTCTGCTAAATACATCACAAAGCCATTCGGTGTATTCAAAGCTGTTTTCCACCTTATTTGTGGAACTAGTCTCACAGTAGATGTAATGAGATATACAAGGAACTCAGTTGAGACCCTTACAATTACTAGCCCTGTAATTCCCCAAACGGGGACATAATTTTGATGACCTTTAGGCAATTTTGCAAGAATCAGAAAACGCTACTCAGCTGTCTGTGATTTGATGTTGTTCTGTTTGACCTATTTGGGGACTGGGTACTAGCCTTTCTATTGATAATCGTTATCGTTTGTGCTTTGATACACTCATTTGTTTAAATATTTTAGTGAAATTTAACGTAATTTTACGTTAAATTCTACTTATTGTTTAATAGTAGCACTTATGATTGTATTCAAAATCATTGCTCATCGGGGTGATTCAGCAAATGTTTGTGTTCTCGACCAAACGCGGCACACTTCCTATTTGATGTAATTACTTCAAAAAAAACCCCTTTGACACTTTCTTACGAATGTGATTGCCATACTCTGATTATTGGTTTAACGCTTCATTTGGGACCGAGTGGCACTGAAGACCCCACCATTATACGTCCATCGGGCGGCGTGGCCTCCGGGCTATGCCAGTAGCCTCCCCACCCACCCTCCCACCCCAGCGCTTCTGTACACCAGCATTACACATTCACCTCCAGCATTATAACCACTTTTGTCTTCAGGAATGACTTGGGGCGCTGCAGCAATCATTCACAGAAATGCATTAGCGTAGTGACATCTTTCGGGTTGACCCGCGATTATCGCGACAAGACACTTGGACAGATTCCAAAGTACACAAGAATGGACAAATTCACCAACACGGTGCGTGTGTGTGTTACCCCTTCTATCACCGCTGACTCAAATTTAATGCTAAAGGCGCTGTTAAAGAAGAAGACAACCACATCGCAAATCATGAACGTCCCCTATTCAGTTCCGCGTACGCGCTACTAGTGTTAACTGGTAGTGTATTCTCGAAGGAAAAATGTGTATATGCTTATATTTTATAAAAACAGCAATCACACACAAGCTTCGGCCGTTTATCCCATTCTTTGCACATTCTAACACAACGCCCGCTACTTTGAAATGTGCTCTTTCCTCGGCGCTGGCAGCAATCGTAAACGTAGTTGGATTCTTCCTCCCGTTTAGCGCATCAGGATGTCCACCCGATTGACTTAGTTCATAAACGACATTCACGAGCGATGTCTGAATGCTACACACCGTTGGGCCCCTAATTCATCTCAATCCCACTAGGTATGCACAGAACCTCTCCACGCCAAGAGCCGACAGCCCTTGAAGTGAACTTTGGGAGCGCAAGTCCCACAAATCGCGAACTTTCTTGCCCAATTGGCGCAGTAAGATCCCGAGGACGAAGGTTGCATATATCCACCGTCCATAAAAAAACCTAACATTACGGTTCACCCAAAAGGCGTATTTCCGACGGTACACGAGCCTCAGCAAACAGCTCCAATGAATAAAAACCAAAGTTCCACCCTTAAATACACATTTTGACAGCAGCGCGAACTAATGGACTACAGTGGCAGAGTTGATCCGTGGTACGCAAGGCGTTCGAACGCATGTAGGACAGATGAGCCAGCCGTAAGGCGTCGTAACAGGATTAAAAACTCGCTTTTACGGTTCTTACGACCTTGAATTTTATGTGACAGACAAACGACCAGTCGCACATCACCTGTTGAATTTGCGTTTATAAAACCAAGGTGTAAATGGCAACAGAAATGCATTTTATGTAAAAGGCTTTATACAAAACAAGCACATTGATAGAACACCAAAAGAAGCTCCTTAGCGTCCAGACGAATGAAAGGATTAATTAGGCTTCACCATTAACTTTCAATTCATCTTCCTCCATGTGGGACCTATTCTTCACTTTTGACTCCTCCTCCAAACTAACTGATGGAGAGCGCGTGTCGGCGGTACGACTCGCGGATGAGGCTGAGCGCACACTGAATGACCCAGAGCGTCGATCGTTCTTATCAACTAAAGGCCTTGAGTGAGAGCAATGATCGCTCCTGATAGGAGAGGTATCGACCTCCCTTCTTGAGCCAGTAGATTTTGATCTAGAACTTCTGTGACGAGTTCGGGATTTAGGACGAAGATTGTTACTGTTTTCAGAGGGGACACGATCTGATGAACAAATTGTTCCACCACGAGACATGAATTTACTGTGATTCGCACCTGATCCAGAAGAGCGACTCGCAGATCGACTGGAAGACCTGGGTGCATGTTTCTTTTTCCTCCTCGAGTGTGAGCGACCCGCTGATGGACTGTAGTCCCTTGGTCGATCCCTAGCACCGTTTGCCATGTGTGAATGTACCGATGAGCCGCTACGCGAGCTGGATCTTCGATGACGCCGACCTTTCAGTGAACGGGATCGACCTCGTGAGTGTTTGTCTGAAGCGGACGATCGTGAACGGTGCTTAGAGTACTTGCGGGAAGTTCGGGACCAAGATCGGCGACGGCTTTCATCGCTATTCAGTCGTCTTCGTTTACGTTCCACGACAAGTGACCGACGCGATTCAGATCTACTCCTACGTAAGCGCTTTTCATGACGCTTCACTGATCGACTGGAAGATGAACGACTCTGGGATCTTGGACTGCTGTGCCGACGATACCTGCGATGCTTCCTTTTTCGATCAACAGAACTGGCAGATCTGGACCTCTTGTGGGAAGCCCCGATACTTCTGTCACGACGCTTCTCAGAGCGACTACGCGAACGCCGACGAGTTCGACCCCTTGAGGAAGAGCGGGAAAGAGAAGATGAAGTCCTCCTCCACCTACGGATTGCGCGCTTACGACCGCCTTGACCGAATCCACCAACGGCTCTGGACAAATCCTCTAGCTCAGATGGAATCTTCTGTTTCGCTTCCTTCAATACTTTCATCAGTTGTCGAGCCTATCAAATTAGGTAAACTTCTCAGTTATATGAAGTGAGGGTGACAATTAATTAAATGAAACAAAAAGTACCGTTTTTGGGTTATCATTGTTGAAAAATGTATAAGCTGTCCCCTTCCTATCGCTTCTTCCAGTTCTTCCGATCCTGTGGACATAGTCCTCTGCGTGAGTAGGGTAGTCGTAGTTCACGATGTACCGAATGTCCGTTATATCTGAAAACATGGGCACCAGATGAGTCGTGGTTCGACAGCGACACAAAAATACAAAGTGGTTTGCGAAAGGGTGATAGAGAAGTGCCCGAGATTTACCAACAGGGGCGATGGGTGTGTGGTAAGAACCACTGGATATGCACTTAAAATTTCCCAACGACGTGCCAGTATGCAGGAAAGCCGCCGAGGTGGCGGCTTAATCCGCAGTGCAGGAGACCCGATCGAGGCTCAACGGAAGGCCTCGAAAAAGGAAAAACAACACCCAATTCGAGGTGCAGGGAGCAGAATAGACAACCCCTGCACCATCCCCTTTGATCAAAGGCGCGAGGAAAATGAGAGCTCGAACAGAGGGAGTCTGCTTATTTCCCTGTTTGGTGTTAAATTGTGCTCGCATCGTGGGGGCTAGTGTGGTGTCTCAGGTACACCCCACACGCAACGGGGCATCTGCGGCTTTGGCGAGAGGCCAACGTCCACATAGCCCCGTATGCCAGTCTGAATGGCCTGTCAAGCATTTCAGAAAATATGCATTTGTAACAAACATAACAAAGGCCAGAGTCGATCAATGTGATCCATCTCAAATGACCAACCTACCAAGTCCTCTTGCGGCTATATCCGTGGCCACCAGAGTTGTAATTCTACTATTTCGAAAATCTAAAAGGCTTCAGGGTTGGAATAATCACCTTACCTCCTAAGATCGCCTCTCTTTCTCGCTGCTGTTTATTTCCATGCATGGCAGCAACGTTGAAACCTCGATCGCGCAAGCGATACATCAGTTCGTCGGCTCTCCTCCTAGTTTCCACGAAGACAATTGCTTTTGACCTGCCGAAATCCTTCAGAAGCTCCACCAAACGGCCATACTTCTCTGACTCTCTGATAACCTCCACATTTTGCTTGATATTGTGGTTTGCGTGTAGATCCTCAGAGCCAATATTTATCTGGATATATTTTCCGAGAAATTCCCTGGCAAGCGATCTCACTTCCTTCGGCCATGTTGCGGACCACATGAGTGTTTGGCGATCTGGGCGTACTTGAGAGACGATTCTACGCAGCGACGGCTCAAAGCCCATGTCCAACATTCGATCAGCTTCATCGACAACCAAGTAGGTAGTACGACGCAGGTTGGTGTCACCAGTCTCCAGAAAATCTAGTAGTCTTCCAGGAGTGGCAATGACAACCTCAGGATACCGTTCAAGATCACGCTGTTGAGGCTTTTTTGGGGCACCGCCGTAGAGACATGCGACACGTAATCTGCAGTTCGAGCAAAAATCGCGTGCAACCGACTCAACTTGCTGCGCCAACTCACGAGTAGTTACTAGGATAAGCGCAATGGGACCATCGTGACGCTTCATCGCTGGCTGAGCTTTGATATGAACAATCGCTGGTAGAAGAAAAGCGGCTGTTTTTCCAGAACCAGTCTGAGCGATACCGACAACATTTCTGCCACTGAGAGCCAAAGGCCATCCCTGCGACTGAATAGGAGTTGGAGCCTTCCATTTATTCTCCTCAATTACTTCAATGACGCTATCCGGAAAACCCGCCTCGGAGAAAGAAAATACTGGCCTTGGGACGTCCTTCCCGTCAACCGTAATTCGGGCTTCCTTAAGAAATTTCTCAATTTCCCTGGAGCTTCTATTCTTAACAGCTGAGGACTCCTTATAAAAATCCTTCTCGAACTTAACAAGCTTTTCCCGTTTCCAATCAACGCTACGCAGGCGCTGTCCAGGAGAGCCCCTTCCATGATTTCTAGAAAGTAAACACAATAAACCAAGCTACCGAACAGGCGATTTCGACCTCCGACTCATGTCTATCAAAAACAAGCCCGCGATAGCGCCATAAGTCACGCACCCAGTAAAACAACCTTTTACTCAATAAGGAAAAAAGATTAAAAAAGTTGAATTGTAATCCCCTTTTCATCAAGCATTTAAGAATAGGTTTTACTACCAAGCCAAAAATAAAAATCTTTATTCAGCAGATTTTTTCTAGTTGGACTCGAATCAATCTACAAGCTAGTCAAAACCACTAAATGAAATAACATTAAATTTGAAATTTTAATGACACTGGCGCAATTCGCTTTTATACAGTCAAGGCTTTGGGCAAAAACAGCAAACAAAGCAAGATGCGATCCAGTGAACCAGAAACAACAAACTTCACAGTCAGCGAAACAATTTGGAAACGCCGCACCGGAATCAAGTGGCTTAAACTTCCGGGTGCCACCAAAGTACCACATATATAAGTAGTGGACCCATTGCCTAGCTTGGTAGAAAATTAGGGATCATATTCTGATGCTCTTTAAATGTGGCTTTTGGCAAGTTTGCATGTGGCTTTATGTAACAGAGGCACCAAAATGCCAATAATGGTGGCATACTGTTATTTGCTTTTAATGATCAACAAAGACACCTAAAATCCTTTTGAAATTGCACTTATTATTTGCTTTGAAATAGTGGGGTTATTAAAAGCGCCGAGGTCACAAATTTTTGTCCAATTAAATTGTGGTTGACCTTCTACATTTGTCAAACCTTGTACATGCTTTAATGTGACCTGAAAATGTCTAGTTTCTTTTTCTCTGATGACCCTCAAAGGCCCGAGCCCTCTGAATTTTTATGTGGCGTCGTGGAAGGTATCTTTTGAAATTTTCATTGGGAAACATGGTTTCTGCTCATTAAGTTGCATTTGAGTTTTTGAAAAAGCCGTTCCCTACTATCTACCGGCGCTATTTGCCAGCTCATACTTGTAGAGCATTGACGTGGCGGAATCGAATGTAGCATAAGTGGTAGTCTTTCTCTCATAGTCTTTATAAACTTGCATTCTATAAAATGCCTATTCTTCCGGTTTTTTGTAGGCTTTTACGGTCGTCCGTGGACGTATCCTCAGCGTCGTGAGCTCTTTAGGCGGTAAGTTGTTTCAATCATACGAGTTAGTTTTGTGTCCTGGTTTTATGTTTCGTCCACTTTCCTTGATCTCATTATTTTACAAACTATTCATAGCTACTCCTGTTGCTCTCTATTAATGCCATATTGTAGCTGATAGGTCTTGCAACTGTCATTGTGTTTCATTCTTTAAGTGTTCTTTTACGCAATCTTGCTTTTTTCGTCACTCAATCTGTGACTGAGCTTGGGAATACATTCTTAAGCGCCTTTCTATTTGAGTCTCATTTTTACAAACCCCTTTATGACGCTGTAGACTAGAAATGACAGTCGAACGATGTACTGCATAGATTTTGTCTAAGTATTAGAAGCTGAAATGCTGATTGTTATCTATGATCACTCCCATCAGATTGTGACTACTCAGAAGGCCTGAGGTTATTAACTAACAAGATCATAACATGAATCTTAATTTGCAATTTTTGCTCCAGGATGGCAGCATAGTAGTCCCAAGACCTCGCTTTTCTCCCGAACAAGCATTGACTACCGATGATCTGTCTTTCAGCATGCAGTCAATGGGGATGAACGCTTACCTCTATGCTCCTAAAGATGATTTAAAGCACCGACTTTCATGGCGTGAGCTCTACACGGATAAGGAGGCGGAAAATATGCAGTCGCTTATTGCTGCTGCTGATGCCCACAACATCTGCTTCATCTTTGCAATCTCTCCCGGCAGCGACGTTGTCTACTCCGATGAAGAAGACGCTGCTGCCTTGAAGGCGCGTCTCGAGCAGGTCCGTGGTTCGTGTGCATTTTCTAGCCCATTAAACTCGCATGCACTTTATTGTCAGTTTGATAATCTGATCCACAAAAGCTGTGTTTTCAATGCTGGGCCCTTCTGCTCGCCAGTGATTAAACACTTCTGTGACTAATTGAGCTGTAATTTTTCCTTGCCTTGTTACTGTACTCCAAAACTGATTCATTGGTTTACCGTCTTAAACTGTTGAGTTATTCCTTACGGCAGCTTGTTAGTACCAGCAAAATATGATTATTTGGAATTTAGGTAAGGTATATCTCAGTAAAATTTCAATAAAACGGGAATTTTGTCGTCTTGGATCGCGCAACTTTTACTAATTCCTTGTTCTTAGAACTTTTATTTCCAAGGTGAGTTTATGGCACGCATTCTCACATTCAACCCCTTTCAATTGCGTGATATTGCGCTTCATAATCAGCTTGATAAAGACAATAACTCTGTTTTATGGGACTTAGGCTCTGAATCTGGGCTGCCACGCATTCGCCTTGCTCTTTGACGACATTGACATGCGTCTATGTCTGGCGGACCAGGAGGTCTTTGTCTCACCGGGGCTGGCCCAGGTAGCGCTCACTAACAAGGTCTACGAGGCTCTCAACCGTCCGGATGTCTTTCTCTTCTGTCCCACTGAGTACTGCGCCAGCCGGGCCGTCCCTAACGTCAACCACTCCACCTATCTCGCCACCCTAGGAAGTGATCTCGCTGAAGGTGTGCCGCTTTCCCTTTCCATGTTGATTCATAACTTCGCAGGTGGTACCAGGACACCAACCAGAGCTACTTACATCTTTTTTAAACCTCTTACACTTTATCGGCGACTGAGCCAATCCTGATGACGTTTCTATGGAAAATTTTCGCTAATAGGGGCTTGCTCACATATGGAGTGGGCAAACGTATGACAATTATTGGCAGTGAAGAGACCCTCTGAAATGTTCCTTCAATGAATCGATCGGTGCAGAAATCTTGGGGGTTGTTTACATCCGACGAAGGGATGAGTTGACGGTTGATATTTTGCTCGTGCATAAAAAGCCTCTTTTTTGCGCACTCGAAAAGCACACTAGGGCAATAGATGCTATGTTACTTGTAAAGTGGCTATACTTAACGCGAGAAAGATTTAACCAGGGAAAGAAAAGTTAATCTTTCGCTGGGCTTTATTAGTATAAAGTCACCTCTTGGATAAACGAGTGGATTTTGGTGGGTAATTTCCAAACTTCTGGCACATTCTCATGAGGAAACCTTACCGATTGGGAAGATCTGGTCCAGTTCTTGGGAAAATGCCGTCACATCATTGGGACTGAGTACCAAGTGTACATTAAAGCATCTTGAGCTCGGTTTGAAGTTACTCACTATCCAGGTACCGTGATTATAATGTTATGATCGTCCTGTTTACTTTTGATAAATTTATGCGAGTAGACGTACAAGGTTGTGTACTTTGGTGTCCTTTCGACTATTTCAATATTCTTTCTTAGCTTCCAGTTGCATGTTTGCTTGCATTAAGAACCTAATGTATCTGGTATACTTCATCAATGTTTTGCTTATTTTTGTCCACCAAAGGTTTTTACTGCCAGTATGTTGAGCAATGCAAAAAACACTTTATTGGAAAGCATTACCTGGAATACTTTCTTCTATTCTACCATTATTGGATTCTGGTATTCTGTTTCTCGAACAAATCACTTTTTTTCACCGATACTTGTCCTGCGATTTCGTTTCTTCATTGTTCATATGCTTTGTTGACCGCTTAACTAATTGCCTCTTTTCAGACGTCTGTTTTTCTCAGCATTGTTATTGCAACCACTGCGCTCCTCTTGCGTGCTCTGACAGCCAAATAATCGCGTAGTAATCTATTTGGTAGTGCTGGCGAATATTTGCTCCCTCGGCCAATAAATAGGCTTATGTGGTCCGATCGAAAAGTTCATAATCTTGAGGTTATTATCATTTCTTTGAGACTATTGTAATTTTGGATGATAAGAATACAAGTCGTTTTGTAAGCGTAATATGCATCACTAGTTTATTTTCACAGTATCTACGGAAATTGTTCAAATCCTTGAAGGATCCCAGCCTGATCAAAAAGTGTTCGAAATTTGCCAACCTTTCACCCAGTCCACTCCTTAATAACCATTCCATTTCCTTCGAAATGACCTCCTTATCAACGTTTATCATAAATTCTGATTATTTTGTGTTACTTACGAGAGACCTCCAGGATTTGTATTAATTTTTTTCTGAAGTTACCATATCAGGTTATTGCAGGGCTTGTGGAGTTCTCTGGCAGCAAAAAAAACTCCTGTAGGATCACAAGGTGACCATTGAAGAATACATAATGCTTAAGCAAGAACTAATTCGTAACAAGAAATGAGCCGCTGCCATATACCAAGGAAACACGAATCGTCGTCGGTACTCTTCACCCAACAGCGTACGTAAAGATTTTTTCTTGAGCTGATGAAAACAACGTTAAAGCTTGTTCCCTAGTTATGAAATGCGGTGCATTTGCTTTAACAAAAGACGAAATCAGAACATCACTAATAATGTAAATGTGTAAAATATGCAGTACGAGTAGTAAACGTCACACCTTTTTTTGCGTCACTTCAAGGAATAAAAGTGATGTGGACAGGACCCTTGGTCGTCAGTAAGCGCGTTCCCACCTTGGGAATTCGCGACCTTTCGCGTCTGCTGAAGCGACCGATTGTGCTGTGGGACAATCTGCACGCCAACGATTACGACCAGCGTCGCGTCTTCCTCGGGCCCTATGCGGGCCGACCGCTGGCTCTTCGCCGTCGCCGCCTGCTCCATGGCATTCTCACCAACCCCAATTGCGAGTTCGAGGCCAACTACGTTGCTATTCACACTCTCGCTCAGTGGACCCGGTGCGCTCTAACATCTCTTCTTGGTAGCCGATTTTTGCCCTTTCCAAGGCTTTACATTTTGCTTCACTGAGTGCAGCGGGGGCCAAAATATCTGAAATGGTGCACATTCATTCAGGTTAGATAACTGGGTTTATATTACCTCCCTGCGTACTCCTTTCACTTACTCCGGCTTTTTTATGTTTAGATCGAGATTATCGACTTGAATGCAGTTTTTAATGCCGTTGCTAAGTCTGGGTATCCTTCTTGTTTGAAAAAGCCAGCGCCTACCCTACATCTCTTGCTCTCCTCAATAGGCGTTTTTTTGGTTTTACTCATATTGACATAATAGGGACGATAATTTTGGGGAATCGGTAATTGCTCTTAGGTTACTAAAACCTAATTTCTCTGTCTATCCGGTCTCACACACTAGTACGCTTCAATTTTCTTGTCAAGATTAGGATGTTAAGTCAAAGCGGCCAACTCCAATCCTCATTTTTAAGGTTGAGTGCATTTAGTAGCGTTGTACATCACTCTTAAAGACGTAAAAAAGCGTACCATTATGAAGGAACGTTTGTTATTCATTCACAGAAGGAGTGGGTGCTAAACTTTGACGTTGCTTTAACCCAATGGCGGTTCCTCTTCTGTAACACCAAGATTTGGCAACTGCACTACGAATTCCAGATGCTTCTTTTAGATCGGACTTGCTCACCTCTGCCACCAAAGTAGCGTCTTGAGTTATCTCTGATGAACCAATAGAGCACATCACCATCCAGGAATTGTTTGTTATTAACGTGCGAAAGCCATGATTGGCTATAGGTATAGACGGGACGCCGTGACACGGAGACTGAAGAAATCGCATTAATAAATACATCACTAAAACAGCTAACTTTCACTACATAGCATCGGGCACCCCTCCCATGCTGACAAGGTAGCCGTGTCAGCGGACCTCGCCGATGTGGGCGATGACTTGGAGCGCGAGGAGGAGGGAGGACAGGAGGGCGGCGCACACTCCTCTCCCATCTATCGACCACGAGAGGCCCTCCATAATGCTCTCAGGGACTGGTTGGCCCTCATGCTTCAGGTCAGTTGCTGTTATTCGTGTACATGAGTCCTGCCTACCCTTCAACTTGAACAACTTACGTTGGGTAATTTTATGCACATTTTTTGTCCACTCTGCATACGAGATTGAGATACGTGGTTAGCTGTCATCACTCCGCTAATGACTATGTTGTCTTCCTCTCCCATTTTGAAAAGGTTTACTACTGAACCTATTCTGGACTTACAAGAAGTTCACTTTGCACTTGTAAAATAGCTTGTGTCATAAGCTCTGTTTCATTTTAATCAAATCGAACAGGGATTAGATACATCTGACCTCATTTTAGCGAACGAATGGCACCATTACACCACCTTTGTTTGCATTTAATAACATTAAATTTTTTGGTTACCCGGCATCTTTTTGTACTTACGAAGTCGACATTTTCTTTGACCTTAATCACATTGTTGATAGTTCTTTTTCGGCTTACTATTCACAGGACCAGAGGTCGAACTCAGTGTTAGCAAAGCGAAACTTTTCGCACCCAGCAACTCCAACACCCATGGAAACAGACTCTACAGACACCCAAGAGGTCCCCATGCAGGTGAGATCAAATCCAACATGATTTTGCAACGGGTCTTGGTTGCAGATTGCCTCAACTTTATTTGAGTGTCATTCCGCCTCTAGGTTGAAAACAGTGAAAGCACTAGTGCTAGGATTGGATCTGACGTCAACATGGGCTCAGGTAGGTGCCCCTGAATTCAGTCGCTCACTACTTCGTGCTTGGTAGAGTCTACCAATGTGGTTCAATCACTCGGTATCGGTTTGGAGGACCTTGAGCTACTCTCGGACTTGTTCTATCTCCCTTTCTCCCACGGACCAACTGCACTGAAAGCGCTTGAATTGGGCCACTGGCTTCGTGAAAACTCCCATCTTGCTCCCGCAGACAAAAGTGCTGACGTGGAGGTAGGCTTAAATGGGTGAACTGCCTACTTATTAGTACATAAGTAGAATGTGTGGTTGGCGCCTACTTTTTCGGGTTTCAGCACAATAAGTGGTGTAAAAAGTTTGCCGAACTCATTAAAATAATCACTAATGTGAGTCAGCTGAGGGAGAAGATCCAACGGCTTCCCCATCCTGGTGTTGTATATGATCTCGCACCCTACCTCACTGACATTACCTCTGTCTTTGCTATGCTACTTGACTATTTCCGATGGCTCGGTACGTTCTCATTTTCTTAGCGCTAACTGTACGGGCCATTCCTGCAAGAACGCGCTCTCCATAGTTGACCAATGTCTTCGCGTTGCTTTTTAGGGTATACTTATTTGCATATTTTTAGCCTCATGGTAAAGACACTCTTCTTAAGTTTTTTATCTTTGTTTATTTTTAATAGTAATAAGTATAACAAGGCCCCAGTATGCACCTTTTACCCGCTTGGCAAATGCCTCACTTTTTACTATGCAAAAGGAACCCTTGTGGTTGTTTTTTGATCCAGAAAACGGCGTCATGGCGAACCGAAGTCAGGCTCATCTGAAACGCCTCCTTACCTGTTAGTTCTTCGTCATACGTGAGTTGCTCTCCCTATGTTGGTTTTATTGATAAAGACCTTTTGTCACTTCCTCTAGGGTTTTCTCCAGGCTACAGTGAAATGACAATGTCGGGCGATCACGAGCCTTGGATGTTTCGAGGTGGTCTTATCACCGAACTTCAGGTCAGTGTCTCTTTTTTGGCTCACGCTATTTCCCTTCATTTGGCATTTTCTGTGAGCCTGAACTAGTGCCCTTCATAAAATTTAGTTTTTTTTTTTTTTCGCATCTGGGTACAGTCTGTTATGGGTAACTCGGCAGGCTTGAAGTTAAAGTTAGCCAAGTAGTGAGGGGCTGTGAATTTTATGGTGGTGCCAAAATTTAACGGTGTAAAGATAGGCATAAATGCTTGGGGGTTATGGGAGGACGTATAAGTTATTTATTGTTAGCCATTTGGAGACATGATTGAGTATGTTTTTGTAAATTAGTTGACAATTTGTCAATTGGACTGTTTCAGACAGTTTTCCTTCGCATCGAACTACCTTGTGTGAAAACCTAGGGGACATTGCACTGTCAAGCTCTACCTTTGGACAAGTAATCCAAACATGTTTTTATGCCCAGATTTTCTTGATGTTTCCCTTTAACCGTTTATTACATTATGTACAGATCATTGTCATCCAAGGCTGTTGGATCACTATATCTTAACCGTCTATAAATCACACTTTCTTAGCCAGTACAAATGTTAGTGATTGTTTTCAGTAAATAACTATTGAAGTACTTCAAACTTGTTCTGTATTTGGTGAACAAACCTTCCTCACTTCAGATGAATGGTCCAAATATCATACTTCTCTCAAGTAATGTTTTCATATCCATTGCATTGATAATACATTAATTGTTCTTGTTTATTTGTATTTCGATGTCTCTCCGTCAAAAGTTTCCCATACCTATCCAATATTTTAAGCCGCTGGTAACGCGGTCGAAATTAAAAGTTATTACCTGTGAACAAGCTTCCATTGCACAATCAAGCATCATTTATAGGTCCCTCGTTCGCCTCTTTTAGCGGATTCTTCCTCTCGAATCGGCACAGGATCTGTTCCCCGCGCCCAGTCGCGTGAGCCCCACGATGACCGCAACCCCCACTGGTCCGCTGGCCGCGGACGACCTCTCTCCCTGTGAGCAAGCCTCCTCTCTCCTTGCGTCAGACAGGTGGAACGCTGCTAAAGTGGGCTTCCAGCCGCGTCGACCCTACCTCCTGCGACCTTACAGACTCGAGGACAAACCAAAAATCTATGGTCTTTGGCGACGTATGCTCCTGCACAGACTCGGCCTCCCGAAAGACGCCTTGCCCGAGAAGTATGAGGATCTTCCTGGTGACCGGTAGGTCTGACAGTGCCTCTTTGCTTAATCCAATTACACATCTTTCTCAAGGATCACTTCTGAAGTCTAGGTGAATTTACGTGTTCCATTTTCATCCTACATTATGCCCACATTTTAAGGAGTAGTGTTTTACTGTGTTTATAACTGTTTTTATTCCTAATTATTAAGCTTTTAAATTTTTTGATATTTGGTTAAAGTTATGAAGCATAAATTTGGAACTATGCAGTGTTTAATTTCGTCGAATTTTGCTCGTAATAGCCACACGATCCACTCTTCGCACTCCCATTAAGAAGAAAATTCTTTGCAGTCATTCGACTCCGACTGCGAAAATAGCTGGTTTACGACAAAGTTGACGAAAATCAGTGTAGCAATCCATGAGTGGGGTTTTTGAGTCGTGGTTTGAAAGCTTCAAAACGCCTATGGGCATTTGGTACCCATGAATATGAAGATAATGTGATGAAAATAAACCTCTCTGTGAATTAGCTAATTAAGTTGCCTGTGCTGCATATGCCGTCCCTCCGTTTCCAAGAGCTGCGGGGTGGTGGTGTTAGGCGCAGACTAACCCAGTTTACGATTTTAGTACCCAATCAAGAGCCAAGGGAGCAATCATTTGCGAGAGATTACGTGTGGAAGTTTAGTGATTGAGCGGTATTCTTGAGGACTGGAAACGCTATTTCCTGGTATTTTTGTTGAAATGAACGCTCATTACTTATCTGTCCACCGCTTATGATAGTTGCAAAATTCCCTCTCTTCCCTCATACGCAATCTTTTTCAGATCGCAGTCTGCTCACTTCAAATCTTGATCGTGTCAGTCGAAATCTGCATCCACCATCTCTTTTGTTTTGGGGACGAAGGTGATAATTTTAACAGGACTGAGAGTGTGTTTGTATTTCGTGCAAATGTGACACTGGTTATTCATCTCGTGACTAGCGTTCAAATCGCGCCGGGACTTGCTGTTCCGCTTCTGTGGAAAACGGTGTTACTGTGGCGGTATTAGTTGCAGTAGCAAGTGGCAAGTATGTCCTATTAACACTAGCGATAACCAATGCATATGTGTTTGACTAGCTTAGATACCTCTGTTCAAAGTGGCAGACAACAGTAGTATAGCGTGCAAGGAGTGGTGTGTGGTATCGGGCGAAGTTTCTTTCCGATGAACTGATAAAAGCCGAAGCTTTAGATAGCTACTCCTACAGAAGACCACGGAGGTAGGATGCCTCATTGCCTCAAAAGCACTCGCATGTCTGCCGAACATTTACGATTTCGAAAATTTAACGTAATTTGTGCACCAAGACAGATTTCACCCTTTGATCATCACGAAAGAATTGAATGCTTCGCTGAGATGAAAGAGTGTTTTGCGAAAAGGGACAATGATTTTCTGGACCTTGCTCTGAGTGATATCCACCCCTTTGGATCTTTAATGGGGTACCTCGATGGTCAGCATTTTAACGCTGATGACGAAGTAAAGCAGGATGTTTTAGAACGAATTGGTCACATTTAGGAATCGTTCTATGCCGAACCTTTCTAAGTGTTAAATTAATGGAAATATGACAGAGTTATGTGGCAAAATGAATCCAGCTTCTGCTTCTACATTGACGTTTCAGTGGGTTAATTCCTAATCATTTTACTTTACCCCCAAAGGTACTTCGCTGCCTACTTGGAGCGTTTTCCACAGCACTGTCTGGTGGTGGAGGGTCCACCTCTCTTCTTCGACGCCGCATTGGAGGCGTCGTCAGTTTCGACTAGTACAGGACGGAGTTCGTCCCCTACAGCCGCTCCGCCATGGGATATCGTGGCGTTCGCCTTCGCAGCGCCCGACATCGGCGCGCTGACCCGCGTATGGGACGACCTGCGGCGCGGTCAGCTGCGTGTCAAGTACCCCAAGGATGAGGCTCTGTGTGGTAGTGGAAATCACCTCCCAATACCTCGTAAACCTTCCATAAACAACATACCACCTCGACTCTCTGTTGAGGACTTTATTCGTGTAAGCTCATTTCCACTATTTCGTAAACAATGAAAGATTTTCGCATCTTTGAAAAGAACGCTACCGATACAGGTCTTAGCACTAGCAAATTGGAGTTGATTTGTTTTGCAGCTGATGTTACATTATTTAGGGGTAGCTATGACTGAGTTAGGTTACGCAATTATCATCTTTCAAGTTCCTTTGAGAAAAGTGCATTCAGCCGTTATAAAATTCGGTGCGTTGTGGGTTATTGAGGTACTCGAAAAGTAGGGATAGTGGGGTGTTTAGTTATTTCGTCCTCCTGTATAATTACAGTACGTTGCACGCTAGTAGATTCATTCCGCTCTAATTTAATTTTTTTGGCCTTTATTTCACCCTCCCAATGTCCAGTTGTTGCTAATACTTAAAAATAGTTGTTTCAAATGTCAACTAGGTTATTTACTATAACGCTGCTACCTGTTTAGTATAGAATTGAATTTGTGCCTCTTCCTGTATTGGCCTTATCCAAATTGATAAATTTTACTAAGGGATGGGATATCCTAACTGTATGTTCCTGATTACCCGCATATTTTTGAGAGATTCGTTGTCTGTATTTGATTTCGTTGTTGTCAGTGTACCTATTATAACCTAAAATTTTGACTCCTGGAATTTCTAAAAATCCTCTAGAGGTTAAGCAGACTTGCTTTTGAGGTCGTGAAATTACTATATTTTAACACCCGTGTTACGCCTAGGTAGCATTAATTGTATTGATGTGGGGAGTGATGTAAAGAACAACCCTTTGGATGCCGCATAGATGAATAAACTTTTTGTTTACTGCTTTCATATTTGCTACACTGGTTCAGATATCGTTGGACTGGATACACGACGAACGCATAACTACAGCGGCTTCAAGCATCATTGCCGAAGCAGCTGTCACCGAGGTACCACCTCCCGAGCCGTTGGGTGCTGCTATCTCTGAACAACAACATCAGCAACAGCAACAGCCAATGGCAGTGGAGATTTGCGGGCAGGAGGAGAAGCCCACCGAAAAAACAGTCACTGCTGAGGAGGCACAGACGGGTGCGGACGTGGTGGAAGCGGAGTACGCGGAGAGTAACAACGGGGAGCAACAGAGGATGAGATCGAAAGGCGAGGATGAAAATGTTACTATCGCCACCACCGCGAAAGTGGACCAGGGTCTAAAGAAAATTGACGAGGGGGAGGAGGTTGGTGGCTTTTGCCTTTTGTTTTATTTCTTGCTCCTCTTAATAATAAATCCACGATGACACTGATCTCCTACGTTTCGGTAGACAAGGTCGGGCGCCCGGACAGTGGAGGCTATCCACTCGGCAATAATATCGCACCCGGCGAGCATCTTCGTTGAGTTAGACGACTACAGTTTCAGCGGAGCCTCTGGTGGAGTCGCTGGGCTCCCCATGAACCCCTTGACCATGATGAATCACCACCTTGGAGTGGGTTCTGATCCGCCAGAGTTAGTGCTTGACGAAGTTGCCAGGCGTCTCTTTGTTTGCCTTCTGGCTGGACTCAAAACCTGTGCCTCGCATGTGAGCCCAAATCTCTGCAGTTAATCTATCCTAAATCACATAGCATAGGAACCTCTGTGTAGCTTTGCTTGACAGTACGATTTCTTAGCTCTGTTCATTTCATTAGGGAGTCCATGTGGAGTTGGACGCGATAAACGAAACACGGGCTGAACTCTACCGCCGTTTCGGATTCTATCCAGTTGCCGCTGCCTCCACCGACTTTGTCACGGTCATGGGGCGTCTTATTTGACTCCTCTCCCAGTTATCTTATTGCGCACCCAATTGTTTACTTATGGTCTGATTAATTTTGAAATAAAGTAATCAAAGTTAACACGTTGTGCTTATTTGCGGTGTATTTTTCGCATTATTTTGTCTCCAAATGCATTGTAGAAAAGTAGGTCCGCCGTATTTCAACACTGTTCTTAAAATCCTATTCGTTCTAACCTTCTGAATAATTTCTTAGGGCTCTCATACCTGCTTGAATGATGAGCTTGGTGAGTGCCTATGGATAATACAGCATTAGTAAACAATGGAAAGCTGAGACCGCTTTTCAAGGTCAATGTGTACAGAATTAGAGCATGTGACTTCAGGAAGGGTCTGAAACCATATTCAACTCCGGCCCCACAGTCATATTTAATTATCTGTTATGTCCATTTTGTATGTCGTCGTAGCTATCAAATCGAGTTCGCGGTAAAGATCAGAGGACTAGATGGAAATGGGTTAAGATCACTCCAGGAGCGCATCATAGCTTCGGTATCAGAGAATGTCCTCATTCAGACTTCCGAAATCCATATAGCGGGTCTCTTGCTTTATGCGTGCGATGTAGTCAATCCACACGAGACATGGTTAGAGCTTTCGGTTCCTCTCGGGAACTTGAGTCACCCCTTCTCTGAAGGCACACTGCCATCTCCACTCATCAAATCCCAATTAGTATTTGCTACAGCCCAGAAATTACTCAAGTGAATGACGGAATGAACAGCAATGCCTTAGCGACAGGTGTTGACTACTATCCTTTACGTCTCACTTTAAATATGTATGACTATTTGCGTTGGTGATTAATGCTCCTCGTGTTGACTTCTTATTGGTCTGACTCAATGTCGTAGCATACTCTGCAAGAACTTTTTACGCCAAAAATTCTGCTTTTCTTTTTTCCACTACCTTTTTTGTGTGAGTTGCCAAGGCCTCTGTGCACGTGACGAAATGGCACAACGACGACGGCCATGGACAGGGTAGTTGAATAGGTTTAGTACAAGGCGTCGTGACTGGCTGGTGTTTTCTCACTTTCCTCGTAGGCTTTGTGAGTCCTCACGCACATAGGTGGCAGGGGCGGGGTACATAGAGAAGGTACTACAAAACGCCAATGTGCTCAAGTCAGAAGCATAGTCTTTGTCCTACCACCCAAACAATTTTAAACGCCTGCTTCTGTGGCCGCTGCACATCGTATGGGAGTGAGAGATTGCAGATTAGAGCCCATTAAAATAGGATATGCTTCCAGCGCTAATAGATTCCGGGGGTATTAGTTAATCTTTTGACTACTGTGATTAATCCAACCATCTCCGCCAGCTGTTGTGCGTTTTCGAGAAGCTCAGTCAATTGTTAAAATAATTTCTTTACCAAATAACTAGTAATTTGTGCTCAAGAAATCTGATACAGAGACTTCTTTGACGACCTGAAATCATGGCTACTGTTATTGTAGCATTTGAATTACATGGAGCGTTTATGCCGGATCGGCTTACAGGTGATGCACAAACAAATTTATCTAGAAGATAAGTCAGTATGGCAAGGAAAAGGGGGAGATCGTACTTATTAACCGAAAGGCACTGCTTGATATCGCGGATAAGAGGGTCGATATGTAGATAATCAGCGAATGCGCCTACGTGGAATTTGTTAGCAGGCGTCAGCATCCCTAGCTTGTGACTTGCGGGCTACTTCCCGTTCTGCCTGCCACAGCCTAGTATAACAGTCAACAAGTCAAGTAGGCGCAGAGAAAAGTAACAACGTGACTGCTTCCTGTTCCAGGATGACGCATGAATAGGGTTTAATTGAAGCGGAGGTATTAGCAGTGGTAACCAAGGCAGCGTCCGGGATTCTGAAAATGGCAAAAAAGTACGGTATTTTGATCCATATTTGGTTAAACGAATTGCATGTTTGTATCTTACCCTTTCATTCTGAATCGGTGCTCTTATTTTCGCTCAGTCTTCTTATGGTCATTGCTTTTAACGTAAACTTGAGTAAGCAATACTGGTGGAATTAGCACAAAAATACGTGATTTTTTGTTAATTTTTATAGTTGAAGTCATTCAGAGCACGGAAGAACAGTGATACAAATTCACAACTACTCCAAGAGCCCACAAAGTCTCAAAACATTTTTATTGAATGGCAATTCTTAAGAACTGTGGGTAAATGCCGAAATGAGCAATATGGCAGACTTTCCCATAGGACCACCAACCTGAAACTAAACTGTCTTGCGCGTGCCGGGGTCGAGGGGGAATAAACAAAGAATGTGAATTGGGGGGTAAGGCAGACAGAAAATTAACCAACGTGAAGTATGGCCGGCCAACCCCGCGTACTCCCCAGTGAATGAAAGTTGAATTCCCTTACTACTCGGGAGTCCCCTGCTGACAATGCATTTAAAGCTTAGATCTCATTCATTCTGCTCGTAAGGTAATGCTACCGTCGTGAGTTAACTACAAGATTGTCGGGACTAGTTCCGGACATGAGGTTTGTTTTTTCACCACAGTCGATCTCACTATGCTTGCAATGCAGTCTTATCTTAGAACACTTCATATTCTTATAATGCAATTGTTTTAAGGAGTAGGGCTGTTTCTTTTTCACAATTGAATTCGGGTCTCAGAAGTAATTCGTTTAGTTCGTACTCATTTGAAGTAGCGTCATTAACGTTTTCCGCAGTTGCTGAGATTCATGGGGTCTACTGAAGCTCGATGTCTTGAGTGCATTAAGAGTTGCCCGTTTTCTCAAACTGAGCATTCACTTCATGTCGATTAACGTCCTTGAAATAGATTTTACAAAAGTCGTTTTAAAAATTAGGAATAGTAAAGCAGAAACACTGCGTTATTCTGTTATTTAGCATTACTGGCAATCATTTCACCTTCCATGCTAACTTTTGTTATTATTGTCATGTCTGTACTTTGTCTCAAATATCAAATACCTTTGATTTAAAAACATTATTTTTTACACACTCCTGCAAAGAAACTCTACTTTAGCTCGTAAATTAAATGGAAAACATTTCAGTAGTTATGTGATTAACCCTTCTGAATAGTCTAGACGGTAATAAATCCAGAAATTATTTCTTAAGTGTGGTTGCCAAGGTTAACATCAAAACAAGGCAGTTTGAGTCACACAAGTTGAACATTTCCTACAGTCAAATACGCCACATCTAAAGTCAGTGGTGATTTCTTGTTTACTATTTTAATTTGCTTAGCTTACCGACGAATACTGAAATCAGGTACCAGTTGATCCACTCCCTCGAATGGAGAGACTCATCTTTATCACTGAATATTACAGTCAACTGCGGATTTGAAAGATGAGCATGCAACATCCTCACACACATTACATTAGCCACTTTAATGGTAAATATCCAAGTGTTGGAGTTAAGTGGGTTTTACCTTGAGTAGGTTATGGTTAGATGCTAGTAAATGTTTTGATTTTAGCTCGTACGCGCTCGTCTAAGATCCCAGTCCATCTTATAGATAAAGCTACCTTTCCAAATAGCATTTTACCTTGAAGGCTATAACATTGCTGTAGCGTCCCAAAACTTCCCTGAAGAAAAAGAAGCATATAATAATCGGGTGGAATATGTATTGCCGAAGTAAAGAAGCATTGGGAGTTACCAGATTGGACCAGAGGATATTACACTTAACAGAACCGTAATGACTGAGCCTCAAGTGCCTGCATAACCAAAACGAAGAGTTAAACAAACAATCTGATTGCTACATAACCCTTTCTTTTGAGTGTCGTCCCCGACGCTCCCCACAGCCAACTTTCCCGCTTCGGCCATCACAACATGGACGGGACTGTAAGAAAAACTCTCACGAACCAACCGCGCCAGCCATCGAGTTTGCGTGCAGCTGAGAAGATATGTGATACCAACATCAATGATCCCTCTTGACAATTCCAATGAATTTGGCGTTTTGTCCTTTTTAGAAACTGCATTGGGGCAGGGGAATATGCTGGCCATCTCGTATGTCCATCGCCGGTCGTAAGGGCACTGATCAAAAAGCAATCACTTAAAAAGGATGGTGTTTATAATATTTTTGTTAAGATAATGTTTCACGTCTATTCCCTCTTACCACAATGTTTTCAATTCACTGCCGCCCAGCCACATCTATTTGGGTTATATTCAGTTAGTAGAGAGGCGGAAGAGGTATCCCGTGTTCCCCTAGTTGACATCTTCATACATGTGCCGTAGACACCTTTTAAATGGTCCACAGGTAGTATCCCTTCAGGTGCTAATAGCATATCTGAAGAATGCAGAGCTGAGTTAGTTGCCAAGGTCAGACGTCATTTTCACTTTGGCGCCGTCATAGGCTCTCCCATCCTCAGCACATGCTTTTCCTCCACCGCGTTAATTTTTACCATTCAATAGTGAAAATCAAGGTGGTTGTCCTTTAGGATCGGGTTCGTTTTCCGCTGCCATCAATGTAACACCCCGATTCTTTCTTGAAGTAGAAAGAAGCCATAAAACTCGGGCAGAGTATATATTGTCGACGTAGAGAGCAATTGAGAGATTACTGGCATGGCCCAAGGGTCCTGCCGCCCAGTGGAAGTACAATGTCGGAAGTTTAAGTGCCCGCGTGACAAAGCCGATGAGTTAGGCAAACAATCAGTCGCTTGGTGTTCCTCGTTGATTGCAGTGGCGTCGGGAGTGTTAAGTGCTTTACACCTGTGTAATAGCAGCCTGCTTGCTCTTCTCAAACAAAGGTAGACCAAAGTTCTCAAGTAAAGTTAAGATTTCAAATTTTGGCTGCTCTAAGGGCCACATTCATTTATTGTGACTACAGATTCTCAAACGCATATTTATCTTCACTGTGATGAGCAATCAAGCATTTGAGGCTAATAAATCTACTCCTCATCTCTGAAACTAATTAATGGATAAGAACCTCTGAGCCCGGTTAAATATTTCATAATACGCATAAAGTATTTATGAGCTACGCATCTTTTTGTCAATCAAATAGTGTGGCAGTAGAGATTTGTCCCTTTTCTTGGATTCATTGCCCCAAAAGGGAGAAAACTGTACAGGTATGAATGAAGATTGTGTGTTAATGCATTCTAAATATTAAGACGTCGTTTAAGTCTTTCTCAAACAATGCGCGAAGTATAGAGACGATTCAATAAATGCAATCTAAAATTCCCTTGTGAAAGAGAGTTACCACTGAAAAGCCGTCTTCTAGGTGTCGTGATTAGCACGCCTGATTAAAGCGTCTGCCCCTTGATGAGCACGTGCTCGGGTAGGTTGGTCAGTCAGTGCTTGCTGAAACACGTCAGGGCACAGGATAAGTCATTGTGGTGGTCGCTTCCTTTAGCTGATGAAATGAGGCACCGCTGACCGGATTTATACAAACACGGCTGCACCTATGCGTCAGGTACTACATACTTCACTAACCATTGGATCCCCATTTGTTTTAGCATAACTATGCCACATTACGAGAAACCAATAAATATTATAAATGCGGAAAATGTACATACGATAAGTAATTGCATCGCCTTCTGTGAAGGGGAAAGTAAGAAGCTATTATGGCGGGTCATAACGCGTCAGCCAACAATGTATTTGCGTACTCGAGTCTCTACGGTAACGAAATAGTGGCATGGATTAAATTATCCAAAAAGAAATAAAATAACCACTCGTTGCGTCACTTAATCACCCACCTAGAAGTGTTTGAGTCTCAGTGCTCCCTCCTCTTATCTCTCCGCCACGTGGATATGACCGCAGAACAAGTAAAAGGAGGGTACGAAGCACCCAGCAATCATGTTTATCATTTCCTGTCCTCTTCGTATGGCGAGCACTAGGATATTTTTTTGATGCTGAAGCCTGTTAATGCCACAAAGAAATTCAGTAACCCTCCCTCACACCCCAGAGCCTAATTTATCAGATCAAAGAATGGTGGTTAAGAAAACGGAGAAATGGACACCCCACTCCTTCAACAAAATGGGAAGATAGCATTGCTTAAGGCTGCAGGACGAGGTATGCGACTTTGGTTTTCGATACGTCCGAAGAGGGCATGATCTGTACCTGTATTCATGTAGATTTATGCTTAACAAAGAACGTCCAAAAATCAGATCGCCGCAGATGGTCCCTTCCTTCGTGCGATCGCCTCGCTTGTCAACGTGCCCTTCACTGTATGGGTAGGATGGTAGAACTAGTCGACTTCAGTCACGTAAATAATCATAAATAGCTCCAACAGTTAACCGTGTTAAGGATATGAGACTTTCCCAGTCATACTATTCCTCTATCAATAAAGTAGTTAAATTCGCGCGAGATTCGATAGAGGGTCAAGTAGGTAGACCGGCGTTCAGATTAAAAATGTTTCTACGAGCAAGGCGATCAAAGGTATTGTTTGATGCAATACTAATCAGTACAGTCTGTCAAAATGGAATGAGAATGGTCGCCGTTACCATGCCTTGCTCAAGTCGAGTCAAAAGAAGCAGTCTAGTTGAGTATTAACAGCAGTGGGACATCGACGAGTTCTATGAAAAAATTAGCTGCTACGATTATTTCGTATGGTAGAATCACTACTGGTAGAATAGAACTAAAATTCTTCGAATGTATGAATCCTAGCCTCTCAGAGTAGATATTGCTTCTTCCTTCCACGAAACATGCTGACACCTTCCTTCACATTGAGTCGGTCGTGATTAGCCTTCAAGAGACGCCATTGGCAAGAGGATTGTAGAATACTACATTATGCGATACATGATCATAGAGAGAGGGCATTAAGAATCATCTTCAAAACAAATCCCTGGAATGCGAAGAAATCAAGAACTCAAAATCGCTACCAAAAGTAGTAAGTGTCCGGGAGCTAGTTATCGTGTGAAACTGTCAAATCTGAACACATCTAAAACTGTCCATTTGTCGTGCTTGTCGTTAGAGTGGATTATGCTGCCAAGTGCCTGTCCAAAAAACCGCGCGTCACATAGATCAGCCTAGCAACTCAAAATCCACTTTTATCGCCTGTCCGAGCCTGCTCACATTAGGCGGAAGGGTGTACCTAATTGGTCGGCACTGCGTGACCAATTGGATAAGCTTCTTCGGTGCGTGCACACACACGTGCGCAGCAGGCAGAAGACACACACGCACGCTTACCGTCACGCTTGTGCACGCATCCGGGAGAGACGCATTACCACTCATACGAAGCCTTCGTCACTCGTACCTCGCACCGCGTGATGGCTGCCTTGCTTTCCAGGACGGTCAACTGTGACAACCTCTGGCGACCCTGGTACATCATTTGCGTGACCTGCCTGCAGGTTTTCATGCTCTACTCTGGCATAGCCCGCTACATCGCCTTCAAGGAGCACTTGTTCGACCCCAAGTACGGCGGCAATTGGAACCCCGCGGGGATGAATTTCTACCTGGCGATGCTCATCATCGCCACCTTTTTTGTCCTCCTTTTCCTCTACGCTAGTCTGGTTCGCGGATCGAATCTTGCTGGCGAAGGAGTCGCACTAGGACAAGAGTCGGTTCTTTACCACCCTGGTCCGTTTCATTGGCCCCAACAGTCCCAATCCCAACAAGAGGGAAGTAATGCAGGTCTCTATGCGACTGCGAATGGGGTTTTGGAGAGGGGTAATCTCAGCGCTGGGCTGGGAGCCGTGGGAGAGGAGGAGGGAGTGCCACCATTTGACACCTGGTCTGCCCGCAGTGCTGCTCATGTTCCACCCAGCGATTTTGCCACCTATCCAGGCCTACCTACCATGTTTCGATCGATGGTATCAACTGGAGGGACGAATGTGACGGGAGGGAAGGAACGTTGGTTTTCATTGTGTGGCCTCTGGAGGCGCTTCCAACGACGTTTTATTCCCACCTCGAGTCTCATGCACATCATCTCCGCCCATGCCTTCCTCCTTCCACTGCCGGTTCTCGAGGCCCAGCTTATTTTTCACCACGTCCTACCCTTCGGTGAGTTGGATTTGCGTTTTCGGCTCTATGGTTCCATTGGTAGCGGGGATGTAAATTACATCTTCGCTTCTATTATCCACATCTTTCCCAAAGGGCTGAATGTGGACTAGCCAGCGAACAATCGTTTTGTACATCATTATTGGTCGAATTGGGGGCCCACCTGTGCATCACGTGACATGAAATATAATTCCACTACTGTGGAGATAAAGGAGGGCATGTCCTTTTAACCCTTCTCGCCATTTTTAACCAGATAAAGTAATGCGTAAAGTAGTGGGGTTCGAGATCAAGACCGTCCCACGATGCGTACCTTGGAGGGAGGTTTATCGTTGTCTAATGCGACCAATGCAATTAATGTGAGCGTGCATGCTTGCATTGTTTGTCCACCAGGCCTACCTGATGGTCACGGCGCTGTAATCCACTCCCTGAGTGAGTAAACAGTAGCTTCCCCCTTGAGGGCGGGTGGATAGGCGAGTGTTGTTGGAGTATCTCCATTATTGGTGTCTACCGCACACTCAGTCTAGGGAGTGCGTATGAAGATATGGGACAGACGCTTAGAGCATGCTGCACTTATGAGACAGCGTAATAACCTCCGCATTAGCTTAAAAGGGCATTTCACTCCTGGCACAGTCATGGCTCTTTTCCACTAAATGTATACAATTCCCCCACGGTCCATGGAATCGTTTCATATGCGCCTCGTGGATGCATTGCATCGGTAGTTCACCTCCGAGAAACGGTCACCCATGCCTACCACTTTTTGCAGCTACTATGACCTTTGGTTCCTGTTCCGTCAACATGTTACATGTCCAGTTCGATATTTGTCACAAAACTCGTTGTCAACGCTTTATGTAGCTCCAGTCTTCGTTTTCCCCTTATGTTAAGTTTGATTTGACTTTAGTATTTTGATACTCATCTAAAAATCGACTCTAAAATTGGTTCCACATCCTCAACAGAAGCTTCTACTGAAGTGTACTTAAAGGTGGGCGAGGTAGGAAGAGGACTTTGCTGTTCGAGAACCAACTCCTGAGTTAACCTTTCCTTTTTGCAATGATTATTTTGCAGACCAGGAATGAGGAGAAACTACTTTAACGATATACTAGGGAGGATTTGCCCTACGGTACCAATTGTTTGCTCTTTCCAACCTGGATATCCATGGCTTAGTAATTGCATTTTTGGCCTACAATTAAAGCCTTGCCAAATAGCCCCGGTCGCCAATTCCATTCATCAGTACCGCTATTATCCGCCTCGCCATCATGGGGCTATTCTTGTGGAGGGCAAACTAACGCACCGTAACACGAATTCTGTGCTACTCACTCAGGTTAGGGGTAGTTGTTGGTGAGGATAAATGGGTAAATTGGACGTTAAAGGCACTTTCTGGTTTCTGTTCGCGACTTCTACCGCCAGCAGAGCCTGCTTGGTGTTTCTTTTGCACAGGCGGAAGTATATGCTCTGGTAATGTTGACGTTGCTTTCTACGCGAGAAATAAACAATGCAACAATCGCTGAAAATATAAAGTGCAAACGGGAACTTGCGTACATGCATACTTCGGCGTTTTCTTTAAGGTTACTTGAAATGCCCTTAAAGCCCATGCATAAACACCCAAGTTCAGCGCTATGCCTGCTATGTGGTCCCGTGACAGGCCGAAAGGCAAAGGCAGATCGGAACGGTTTTACCCATCCGTTTGTGCTCCTTACACGAGGATTTCGACTCAGATAATGAAGACCTTCACGGAAGAGTTTTGACGGTCCTATTTTAATGTCAGGTTTTGAGTCATGTTTTACCACAAAGTCAAAATCCTTCACCTTTGGGAAGCAAGGCGGTGATTGAGTACATCATCTCAGGTGTAACAGGAAAAAATGTATTAAAAACAATTGAGTGAATGCCTATCTCGCTAGTTTGAAGTGATTACATCGGCAGCAATCTCTCCACCTTCGCTACAGTCCATAGAATTCAGTGATTATGTAATGGCACTGATGGTTAAATGCAACAGACCCTTGTGAAGGACTGCTATTTAATCCGAATATGTTGTCAGTTGAAGGATGTAGCACGTGAATAGTTCAGGCATTTAACACAAATGGGTTTCTTGTGTTAATTTATCCAACATCTTACTAGCATTCCTCCATGGTCAATTTTAATTTCGTCCTAGTAAATGGGGATTTGATACGGGCGCTTCCTGTCCAATATCGCGTACGCCTGTGGCTCTGGCGTTGGTCCTGCCAGCATCTCCCAAGCTAGCATACTTCCTAAACATGTGTAACATTGATAATATTCACTGTAGGGCAGGGAAGACAAATTATCATCGGCTCCCGTACTACCACCCATCTTTGAGTCTCGTTCATTTCCTCACATTATTCGAGAAGGGAATTGTTTTCTCGCAAAAATCCCCTCCCGAACTGCTGTTTCAAAGGTCCAGAAAACAAAGCTCACTTAATTTTTACTGTTACAAACTTGTTACAGTTCTGACATAAGTGGGAGGTGGAATAGGTTTCATGGTGAAGGGTTTAAAAATATTTTCTCAATTTTTAAATTTCACTACCGATTATGTACGCTTGCTGTGAAAGGTTTGCGATAAGCTCGTCTATTCGCTGCAGAAAACGTGTGGAAAAGCAACTTGAATGCGATCCTGCGCTCATCGCCCTCCAATGCAATGTCAGTGGAATTCTTCAATCTCCTCCTCGCATTCGCAGTATTAGCCCTTCGTTATCCAGCCGTATTTTGGCGAACCAATCACGCCTTTGCCTTTACATTCTCCCTTCTACTCGTCATCCTCGGCGTACACGGCCTTCTAGAGATGAACTCCGTCGAGGTTATCGTTAAACTTTGCTGGAACGACAAAAATTTCGCTTCTTCCCAGGCAGGCTTGTGCCAAGCATCTGTCGTGGGAGCATCTAATGGTGGTGATAAAGTGGATTTTCTGGGACCAGCGGTCTTCGAGAAACCCAAAAAGGATCCAGAAGGCCTGCAAAATGCCACCGCACTCTTTCTTTCCACATTCGGGACCCTCACAATGCTACTTCTCACCGTCTGTGTGTTTGACTATGGCATTGATCAATTCGTAGACAGACTCATTGCTTTGAGAAGCGCTATTTTTGGACCCGCTTCACAGGATGTCGCTCCCTCCGACACGGCATCGATTCAGGGCGGAGGTGTTGGTGGTGTCTGTGGTCTGAAATCGGAAGGACAGCGTCGCAGACAACGAGGGACGGTCTGGCGACGTCTTGTGGCAGTGGTGGGAGCCCTCTGCGTTCTAGCCATTAAAATGCCCGTCCTCATAGCCTGCGGTCATGCCTTTGGGGCCAGTAGAAGCCCACTACTTTTAGCCAACATTGTCGCTACAGTCTTCTTCTTCTGTGTCTGGTTTATTATCTGGTTCGCCTTCTGTCTCAAATCCGAATGGAAATTCAAGGTATTTGGTACTATTTTGATAAATTATGCATTGTTCTGCATGATTCTAATCAAACATTCATCTGAAATTATTATGAATATGTCCCTAAGATTTCATTTAGTTTTTCTCCTATAAAATTTTTGAGTATCACCTTATCCCTTTTTCGTGATACGACCAAGGACCATAGCGGTTCTTTTTCAATGGCATTAATCGCGAAACGAAGGTTTTATTGGGAAGCCAGCATTTTCATTTAAACAATTTTTGATCAGCAAGTGAGGAAATTTGTTTACAAAACACAGAAACCTGTTGACGCATGAACGGGAACTATTAGGCGGCGATGAAAGTAGGGCACTACACACGCCCAACTCAAATAAACGCTCCCTGTGTCATTTTTGATCACTGTCATGCATTTTGATGCAGAGTTTCAAGAGCTAAAGTCGGACTCATTAAATGACAAAACCAGAAAGTCACCTATTGCCTTTTTATCGTCGTGTTTTGGGTGTTTCCTATGTTGTTTACACCGTTTCATGAATCAACATGCTGTTGGACGGTCAATGGTTGACCTCCGATGTCTATGGGCGCGTCCTGAAAGGGTGTTCCAAAAGCCAAGCTTCACTCTGGCCTGGTTTTCTTTATGAATCAACCCGCATCTCTATTTAGTCATTTAGACGATTGAGGGGTCTTATGTGTACACTTATGTGCAAACAGTAGGCACTGAAACTAGGGTTATGGGCGTGAAAATTCGACGAGTGGAGTCGTACATTATGGTAACGTAGACTTTCTAATGTTTTAATGTAGTTTCATGTTTGTCGGGTAACAGGAAATCCTTTTTCTGTCAATCTAACACATTGTCTGTATTGTTAGTACCATAGATGTTGTATGAAATGCCTAAATTTTGGAGTTTTGGAGTTTACTAATCCCTTGCAATGGGATTTTGTACAAAAGTCGTTCACAATCACACGTAAGGATACTGGAACAGAAGCCTGGCGTATCCAGTTGCGCTTGTACCGGGTTCAGCGAACTATTAGTGAGGAACCGTGACACTGTTACCTCTGTTTTCCTGACCCTGGAAGTTTGCCTTCGCCCTCGAGCATATCCGGTTTTGCTTTATCAGTGGACGGTTTTTTTCCTTTTTGTTTTAAAGGACTATTGTTCTTAGTCGGCCCTCTGTGGGTAGTTGACTGGGCAAGTTAAATATATAGTGGAGCTGTGCTTCTTTTGTGCGCGGTTAGAGTTTTGCAGCATGAGGTCTAGTTGGTAGAAGTGGAACCAGGTTCTCTGTTCCAGCATCCCCTAGCAGTAGTACTTCACTAAAGCTGACATTGATTGGCAAAACTCCGTCATCTTATCCTTTGGAAAGTTAATATTCAGGTCTAAGATTTCCGCTGTTTTACGTTTCAAGGGCGAAAGAGAAGGCAAATTGCCTAACTTGACTGAATGAAGAGCCTCTGTCCTACTGTAAAAAGTGATGAATCGCGGTGTCTGTATTCCGAGACTGACGATTTCGAATATGCAAAGGAGGGTCGCCCTCAAAATTCAATCTAAATTAGAAGTTGAGTGACATTACTGTACGCCACTGGGTGAATCAGAAGAGTACTAATGAAAATCGCTGTCAGCCACTCAAAGGATACCAATGATATCGATGGGTATTCGGGGAATGTGTAAAAGAATACTTTTTTGGAGTTCTTCTACGGGTTACATTTCAGTATAACGTGACATAGGGCGAAAATTGTACTTGACTTTCGGTTCCGTGATTGACTGGCTAATGCCATCTTCGCCATATCTACTGGTATTCTCGATCGTAACTCATCATTCCTTGCGATCCAACTCACACATTATCGCAGTCTACCTTTCTAGAGTCGACTTTTGTTTCAATCATAAATGGGTTCACAGTTCCCTAGTTTGTAAGCAACCAAATTGAGTTCCAGGGTATGAGGAGTTTTAGGGTACTTTTGAGACTGCTTGCCTGGGCAAATCTCTGAGCTTCCACGTTATGCAATTTATTTGGCGATAACCTTTCCTCATGGAGACTATTAGCATACCACCGAATTCAAACACTATAAACTACAGTGCCTTTCACTGGAAATGGGGTTTCCCTTTTCCCGCTGCCTATAGCGAGTTCACTCTTTTATCTCATCATTGTGACAATGAGCATTCAAGGTGAGCATAAGCCTTTTATCCTCAAAGCTACTGAGGTCACTCATCACTTCCTGGAGGGCCGTAACAGTATAAGCACGAACACTTGGGGGAGAGGTGGAGATCTATCATCTGATCGCCTGTCAGCTGGCCACGCCTTTGATGGCCGCGCCGACCCGTGCATTGCGACGGGTGTTCGTGTTTGCGTGCCATATCGCGTGAGCACACTTGCACCCACACCCACAAGGCACACCGGTCCGCGCAGGTGGGTGTGCGTGTGTTGGGACTGTATGGGGTGGGACGTTGGAACCTTGTTTGCATTATGGTCTTTACACGTCTCCCCTGACCACTTACCGTCCATGCGAAAATTTGCATAGCTCCTTAGTTCAATGAATAGTGGCTAACACAAGGTAATGAGCTTGTAGTTTTGCGGAAGGACTCATTTGCATTGATCCATGATGTCTATTTAGTATGTTTTTGTTATTGATGTTGCTTCGCTGCTGATCGGAGTGATGACATAGAAGCGTCTGCGGGTGAAGATAAATGGGTGCGAACCCCGAACGGTAAAGAATCTTTGAACAGCGATCCTCGGCTAATCTACTTTCGAACCACATCGGAGGGGAACGGCTTAAATTGGGCGTCAAAACCATCGCTCTCCGTTTTTGGGTGAAAAAGGAGTCATAGATGAGGTTGATCTTCGGTTGGTGGCGGGTTTGATAAGAATCTTTCAAATGTAGAATAAATTACTTGGCTATTTGAAATATGCCATCGAGGTCGTGATTGAATGTTTTGAAAACAGCTTCACATTTAAGAATCATTTTGCATTTGAAAGCAAGAAACATTGAGTACAATTGAAACTCGGGGTTAACCATTAATTCATTTCAAGCGTAATTTCTCTTTTCTGGAGACGTTCGTAACCTTAGCTGACATGCATGTTTTGATTCGGATCTGCGCTCTACTTCGATCCCCTTGATTAACCAACATTACATACAGATCAACTTTAGATAAGCTAGTCGTTATTACACGACCAAGGCCAATCAAGATACCGTAGATTTGCAACAATGGAACCGCCCTGTGTCTTCGGTAGTCAACCAACGGTCATGTACGCACGCGTCGTCTCCTCATCTTACTCATTAAGGGTCGCCGAATACAGCCATCCCTATTGAAGTCTTTGTCTCCTGTTTACCTTGGTCAGGAACACGGCAGGACCCAAGCTCTCATGCACATGAATACCAGTTTATGACAGCTAAGTGCCGTATTTACGCACTCATGAAATGCGTCTCAAACATCGTGTTAAGGAGCTCTTGACAAAAAAATTAAGCATCTAACCATGTACTTTTCAATTTGACGTTTTAATAATATTTAAAGTCTGATTGTTTGATTTTACACGTTCAGCCGAATATGGTTGTGTAGAGTCTGGTGTATTTAAAGCAAAGCATTGTTTTTATCGTTCCTCCTCTTTCTTTTGAGAATACTGACCACTTTACTTGGAGCACATCCTTTTACAAAGGAAATACACCGCTTCTATACAATACGGTAATCAAATACCGTCTTAAATCTGTCCCCAAAAATGGTTAATCTCCCCATTACTACCATCCTGCCTTCTATTCGTGTAGTGACTGCATTAAAAACCATCTGCTTGTTTGGGCTCATTCCATTGTCCACTTGATCTAGTTTGGCATTCATCAAAAAGCGAATCTCATTTATAAGATAACATCGCTACTGACCTTGCCACTTCTCAGACTCGCTTGTTTGTAGTAAACTCTCCTTGGCAAAATTAAAGGGAAGATGATGTTATTTTGCGCTCACTTCTCGACGATATCATCATTTTGGTCACGCAGCCGTGTTAACAGTCCAGCAATTCTACCAGTCCTTCAATGAATATTCTTCGGTTCAAGCACCTGTAAATTTGCCTGGCATGAGCAATTTGGTGGGATGGACATCCATTTTCATAGCAGACAACGCGGTCGTAGATCGGCCCCGCGTTACTGGGTGACTAAAGATCCATTTGTTGGGGTGGGTTTCCAGAGTATTTTCCAGTTCTCTCTATCACTTTAATTGGGAGAAAAGTGGATCTGATTTGAACTAATTTTTTGCATACATAAGTTAAATTTAAGGGAGGCTTTACTGCGGATTTAATAGACTTTTTTCCGTAAGTCCACTTTTTTGCTTGTTTCCATTTAGTTTTGTAGGAATTTGGTATTTTATTCGAAGCCATTTTTAGCCTCTATTCTAGATGGCGAGTTTATTTCGCGTACAGAATTTAATGACTGTCTTATTCGATTCTGATAAGTGGAGTTTAAGTTATTTAATTTCACTTATTATTGCACTCACTTCCCAGTTAATGGGTTAATAATTTGAATTATATTCATCGTTAGCGCTTCTGTTGGAGGGTAAAGCATCCTCTCTTATCGGCCAATTCAGGTGACCTATACATCCCCACTCCATCTTCCCATATCCCACCCTCTCACGGTGCAGTACCCCTCGCAGTCGGCTGCAGCCCTGACTCGTCTAGGAGGCAATGGTGGTGGTGTCCCAGGTGGTCTTCCTGGCACCCTTTTGGCCACTGTCACTGGTGTAGCTCCACAGCGCGTACAGCAGGACGGTATGAGGTGCGTCAGCGGTGCTGGCGGCGGTGGTGGTGCTGCTGGTGGCGGTGGTGGGGGCCCACGTCTGACCTCCGGCAGTCCCCCCCTTTATGCCTGTCTCCACGACGGCGGCCCTGCCGCGGGAATTTGTCGCCTTGCGGGGGTGGTATCGTCGCCTCCCCCTGGGGGTCAGGTGCCTATTGGCCAGTCCAACAGAGCAGCTGCGGGTGCTCAGCAGAACGTGGACTGTTATAGCGTGGATACCGAAGGCAGTAGTCGACAGAGTGGTGAGTGTCTTCAAATCATTTATCACACGAGCTAGACTCATATCCAAAGTTACTTTGTATGGTAATTAAAACTCGGTTTGCCTTAAAACAGCTATTATGCCTCAGTCAATACTAAATCCTCCTAGTTGGGAGATTAATCCATGAAAAATACATAAATGAGTTTTTAAGGATGCGGAAGCGCACCTTTCTTCCGCCACGTCGTCCTTATACTTATGAATAAACCAATCCTTCTTTTCAAATTAAGTGTATGCTCCTGATTTATTATGTCCCCCAAAAGTATAATGATTGCACTGGTTGCATAAAATTGATTTTCAAAATCATTCTACGTATCATCATAGGCACCAACAACTATGTGTGCCTTCAAAGCGCCTTGAATACTACTAATGCACTTGGAATGAATCCACTGCCTCAGTCACAGTCCTTTGGAAACGACGTGCCAGTGAACACATCATCGTTCGATCAGCAGGTCCCAAGGTCAACGCCTCAAGAAAATGGTGATCCTCTCAGTAAGTAGCCATTCCCATCACGTAGATGGTAATTCTCACTTCCAGCCATCAGGAAGTGTGAGGTGTGCCTAATTCACAAGTGGGCAAAGTTCAGCGCACACAGTGCTTTTTACCAGATGAAATAGCCATTGAAAGCTAGGTACAGGACAACAAACTGCGAGGGTTTTTGTAGGTCTCGAGAGTGCTCGAAGGCTATCGTTTGCATACTTTTCGTGTAAAAAACTATGCTTGATGGTATATCTATTCGGTAAATGGTAAACAAGATAATTCCATCATGTTAGTATGCTAATCATAGCGCAGAGTATTAGGTTTTTCAGTATCACTTATTAATTTATTGGGTTTTAATACATTTGTAGGTGCTCTGCGGTATGCCTTGCGTCCTAGTGAAATTTTGTCTCCAGGAAGCCTTCGTTTTATAAACAATACACCTTTCGCTGCACAAGGATCTGGTGAGGCCGATGCAGGCCAACTTCTAACGGATAGTGTCCAGGAAACGCATAACTTTCTCCCTCAGTCATCTGTTTCAACCACAGTCGCCACCACCACTACCACCTCCGCGGTCTCCGGCACAAAAATGGACGAGTCTAAACAGCCTCAGCCGCGCGTTACCTTCAAGGAGCTGACCAAAACTATGAAAAACTCCCCTAGCACCAGTGAGGCCAGTTCGTCCCCGAATCCTAACTCATCCAGTGACAGTGGGATCGACAATCATGGCTTTCCAGTGACCACCACAACAACCACAACGATTAGTGGCTCCCTGTTTGCTACTCTGCCTTGCGTATCTAGAACGAGTCTTAGCCTTTCCTTCAATGGGACTGTGAAGAACAGAACAGCTGAGCCAACTTATTACAATCAGGAGCAGATGTCTTCATCGTCAACATCCACCCCCGGAGTTTTTGAGTGTCCCAGCATGCCGCCGTTGAATCTGCCACAGAATGAAGCTGGAGAGGTTTCCTTCGCCAGCTTGTCACGCAGGTTTAATCTAAGGGCTACGTCTTTCGAGCTGCCCTCGCCATCGCCAGTCCCTGTTGATGCTCCAATGGTGGAAAACAAATCCCTAATGAGCCAATCAGTCATCATAAGACGGGGGGAGAGAACATCTACGGGGGAGCAATGCAGTCAAGTTTGAAAAGGACTGCCGATACTTTCGCCTTGTTTTGACTCCCAGTAACCCGTGCATTTTATACCCACATGTCTTGTACATTTTAAAGGGACGGACAAATTTCCCAAAAGTTGTTGTACACGCTGCAAATGTAATGCCTTTATTTTCATCCAAACACGAATTTTTACCACTGTAAAACAGACTTCTGTGCTCATTGTAGTCACCTCAAAACAGCGGTGTGGGTTACATATTTCGGTTGCCAGATTTGTGTCTGTTTCAGGTACGGGAGTGGGGTATGAGGGCATGCGTCTCAAAACACCGATTGTGAGGTATTTGAGCGTATTGGCTGGTGTAAAAGTCGATAATGGCCGTGGAAAAGATTTTGCGGGGAGAAAGCCAGGTTACCTTGTGAGTCCGTTAACACCAAGAGAAGCTGCCGAATAAGTTTTAGGCTAGAAAGGTATGTCAAATAGGAACGCAATGAGATGAGGACAGTTTGGTTGCTGATATTCCCCAAAGATTCCAGTGTTTTTAATTCCATGGAACACACAATCCTAACCGCGGAATGATATGCTTATTGGATTTTCGAAATTCAAGACGTTTAAATCTGTACAATATAACTATAATACTCATGTTATTTAAAGTGCGCCGTTGGGTGAGAAGCGGGCATGCAACAGGAAACCTGTGGTAAAGGAATGGTCAGAATCCCTCGAAGCCGAAGAGACCTCAGCATCCCGGTCCCCTTAAACCTGTACTGATTCTCACTGACTAACTAGTAAACATGTCCCAATTAAATTGGTCCATTCATTCAAAGGGTATGAAGACCAAAGACTAAAGGACAAACATGATTTTATGCCAAATGTGGGCAAAGAAACTCAAAAGCTTTGTGTATGAGAAGTTTGGTTGGTATTTTTGCTTCTTACTTTTTGGTTGTTTGTTTTAGCAGTCGGGAATACGCGCTCACGTTGACCGTGTCGGCGGATGGAATTGCTTTTGGGTTTTTCCGAGTAATATGGCTTCGCCGCCTTATTTGTCATTATCATTTACAGAAGAGGAGGCTACCAAACTAGCTGAACTCGACAGGTAGGTTCAAACTAGCTGTATGTGTTTTGACCGAGTCGTATACAACTGACCTTATGTGCTTAATGACAATATGGAATGAACAGCGCCAAAATTTTTTATTAAACAGAAAATTTATGTATGCATCGAAGGGCACTTTTTTCGTTCTAATGCGGAGGTTGGTGGCTGTGTCGTCCCTTGTTAAAATGCAGTCACCTTTGATTTCCATGTTATGGTTCTATGATAAAATATGCGAATTTGCTTTATAATTGTCACTTCTTTTGCTTTGGGAAATGTTATGTTGCTGAGCCTGAACTTCCACGACTGAGTACCGTTAATTGTATGCTAGTGGTATCAATTGTTAAGCGTGACAGTTAAATTTATACAGATGCCTTAATTTTCATGTCGTGGATTCGTTGGTGCCATTTTATCAGGTTTTATTCTATTCACATTGCAGCTTGGAATTCGGCTTTTTCCGGATCGATGCTAACGACAATCGCAAGCTATTAGAGAGGGTCGTTTTCTATTTGGATGGGATTATTGCAAGGAAAGTATACGAGCTAGAAGAGGCCAGAGCAAAAGAAGAACAAGAAGAGCTTCGAATCCTTGATGAAATGCAGAATTCCGTGCAATCTCCTACAAAAATTCGGGTCAATGTGTATTTAAAATATTCTAAAATGCAAGATGAAAGTATTCCACCCATTATCTATCTCCTACTTGGCCATTATCAGCTCCTACTAAATCTCTATGATGACGCTTTCTCGGCTTACTCGAAGTATGAATCACTAGTGGATGAAAAGGGTCGTCGAAATTTGTCTTTCCTCTATGGCCTTGCATTATGTTGTTTCCATTTTGGTGCTTTCAATCGGTAGGTTTCTTATTTCTCCTGAAACTATGACTTGATTATGAAGCGCGCTCCTTTTATTCCAACAAATTCTTTATCTGCAACCATCTTTTCCACGACGCAAAGAAATTCATATTCGTCTTGGTTATATTTATAAGCTAAGGAAGGACTTGGACAAGAGCCACAGACACTTTCGTCAAGCTCTTCGCGACGAAAGTCCCAGTACATGGGGGCCCATCGAGAGTATGTCATTGATTTTCCTGCTACGCTTGACCTTAGTTCAATTCCAGATAGGCCATTTATTAGAAGTCTGTGGTCGTATCAAGCAAGCGAAGGCGACTTACGAACAGATACTTGAGAGTGTTCAACCGGACACGGCCACTCATGTCCAACATCTCTGTCTGCGCCAGCTTGGTAAGTTGTCCAATATTCCTCATGAATTACCTCGCGTTAGCCTGGCTTTACCAGACGGGTGGAGGTGGTCAGATTGGTGGAAAAGGTGAACCTGGTGTGGCCTCCCCAGCACATAAAGAGTTGGCCATTCAACTTCTGCAAAAAGCTGTTGATTTGGACAGTTCAAATGGAAAGACCTGGTATCTACTGGGTCGCTGTCAAGCCGCTGTTAATCGAGTACAGGACGCCTTTCGGGCCTATCGTAGTTCCATTGACAAGACAGAAGCGAGTGCAGATACGTGGTGCGTTGTTTACACCATGATATTGAATGTGTCACATTGACTTTAGGATTTTCTTTAATGCATTGACGCTTTTTACAGGTGCTCGATTGGCGTGTTGTATCAGGAACAAAATCAGCCTATGGATGCTCTACAGGCATACTTTTGTGCGGTGCAGCTGGACAAGTGTCATGTCACCGCGTGGGTCAACTTAGGCACCCTGTACGAGAGCATGCATCAGTTCAAGGAGGCGCTAAAGTGCTATACCAACGCAGTGAATGCGGACAAGCGCGATGTGGTATGTGTGTGTATGCGAGGAGAGGATGTGATCTTGGATCGACTCAAAATCGGGGAAAAATAACCTGGACTTTTTCTCGGTTCAGATCAAACCACCAGTGAAGGCTCGCATTGCAACACTACAGCAACTGCTACCCCGCCTTGCTGATAAGGTGATGGTGGGCTGTGGCGGCGTCGGTGTGGATGTAAGTCTGGTGAACGCGGCCGGAGGTGCCATTTCTTCCTCTGCACTTTCGACCACCCCTCTGACCAAATTACCTACTGTCGACGCTGCCTGGGATCTGCCCATCCCCGCCGAACTCACCCAGCGACAGGTGCAGCTTATGCTTCAGGAAGCAAATCGGTCACAGTGCTCAGCCTTCTCCAACAGCGGCTCCCACTGGGCTGCTCTCCTCAGCAGTAACGCTGTCAAATTGGAAGAAGAGGAGGAAGAGGGTGGAAAGGCAATGAAGGTTGGCAAGGGTAGTTCTAGAGATGGTGTGTGCTTCTTCTCAATTATTTTGGCTGTTGTATGCCTCGTATTTTTTCCGCCTTTGTCCTTATATATCTTTCCATACGTTAAGAAGGTCAAAAATCGATTTTGTTATTCGGTTTCCATCATTATTAACAGAGGCAAAAGAGATATTAGTAAGGTACCCTAATCAATTCTCGTTCCGCACCATAGTAAATATTTAGTCTTACTGATTGTTAGCTTTAATATATTGCTCATATATTGCACTTAGGATACATAACGAAACTCGCATTTACGTGTTCCGCTATATAGGTATCCAAAAGCACGGTGATGAGCCTCCAAGACCGTTTAAAAGGCTCAAGGTGGAAGAGGAAGAGGAAGAAGGAGAGGAGGGTAGAAAAAGAAATTTCAGTGAGCTTTCATTGCTTCCGGATCCACCTCCCTCTGCGGACGAAATTAGCACGCTGTACAACCTGCTCGTAAATCAAGTCTATTTTTATAAGAATGCGTATTATTCGTTTCATTTAATGATGTTATTGGTATTTTACAAATTACATTCGTCTCAGATCAGTTCCATAAATTAATTTTTTTTGTAAAGCTGTATAGTTTATTTGTTATGGAGAGGTCATTGGACAAATGCCTTTTGGCTCCATCTTAATGTTGCTTGTTCTGTCGTGAATGGGTTTGTTTTTCAACCGGCATATCTGCTAATGACCCACCCACTTGACGGCTGCACTCATTTTGGGGTGCAACTGTTAACACTACTGTTCACTTAGAATAAATTTGAAGTCAACCCATGGGTTCCTTCGTCGTAAAAGCTGTAATTTTTTCCTGACATTTACAGTAAGTGAATGCTATGTATAACTAGGGGTTGCCCTTTGCTCTGTCTCAATACCATTTTGCACTGGTAACTTGCTAGTGTCAAGGGAACGGACAGTCAGCCAGGCAACGCCACCAATTTCAGCGCATTTACACAAAGGCCTTCAATTACTTGCTCTATAAGAAGCGCCACCCAGAGGCAACTGCAGCTCTGACTGACGATCCATTCGCTTGTGCAAGTCGACACATTTTCAAGCGTCAAATAACCCCTGCTTCCGCCTCAGAGGGGTCCGAAGGAACTGGGGTTATGGTGAGTGCCTCTAGCACCAAGGTTAGCATCTCCACACCGCCCGCCTGTGTAACCTCGTCGGCCGATGATGTCGAAAAGGTGGGCCAGCGTCAACAGCAACAGGTGGACGCCACAGTGGCTGACCTACTCTCAGCTGCTGCCAATGATGACACTCTGAGCGCCGATCAACTGCCTGATGACTTTGCTCTTCTTACTGATGACCTCTTTGCTCAGGTTAGTCACCGTTGTCTGATTATTTCGACGAGAGCCTCATAAGCACTCTCATTAGAAACGTCTACGGTTTTGTGTGCTAAAGTCAGTTCCTTTTTCAGTACGCGTTGGGGTGCCAATTTCGGATAACTCCACAGTGTTTTTTATCGAAAATCGCGTTCTGGAACCACTCTTTATCTTGGCACATGTCCTGCATCTAATTATTGTTTCAACAAAGTAGTGGGAAGTACATATACTTTGCAAATTGTTACTATATTTAATAACATTTTTAACAACATATTATACTTCTTTTCAAGACGCAAGGATGATGCTATTGTACCAGGAATGCGAAAGAAAACGATAAAACCGTTAGTGTGAATTGAAGATGGGAACCAGGAGTTTCGAATGATACTTAGATTTATTAGCTTCTGGTGTTTGAAGAGATATTATGTCCTTTGCTCAAATGAACCATCCGGATATTGCTATCTAGCTAACATGCGTTTATGGACACTATATTAATTTGTACCTACGATGTATATACTGGAAGTTCTATACGGCATGGATTTGTTTTAAAACAACAGTATAATTTTGTATGGGGTCTGAGCTGGATAAGTGAAGCCTTTTTTATCAGTGTCTTCTTATGGATAGTTTATGCTCCAACGCCCGAGTTGCACTTCAAGATTAGTGCAATGTATAACAGATGAAGAACCATACAAACCCTACACAAAGGTTGTGACGCAGCAGGATGGATTTATTGCCTAGCAATCTGTATAGTGAAACAGACACTCAGGAGGTAAAGTAATGCTTTGTAGCTCAATACCACAGCTGATGAATTGGTGGATATCACTCTCTTTCAAAACCCCCCGAGTTCGACCAATGGTGGGGGTGATGGGGAGTACGTCGGAAGCGCCGCCGGTACTTCCACTACTGCCGGTGCCACCGACCAAGGTGCATCCTCCACCACGGCAGATATGAAGTCCACAGAGGGCGAAGCACAACAATGTCCATCTGCACAACCGAAACGCGAGAACATCACCTCATCGTCACAGAAGGACAACTGCGCTACCGCTCCATCCAACGTGTCCGAGGTGCCACCGAAATATTCCACTCCACCAAAACTCGTGCGCAACTTGGGCGCTTTTTTAACCAGACCGATGGTGCAGCTTAAGAGCCCCACCACCGATTTAAGTACCTCCATGACCGCTAAACAGGTGTGTTTGCATGTGAATTTGGCACCAATTACCGTTCTGGTAAATTGTAAAACTAACTGCTTTTTTCTCAACTCCAGATTATCGACGCTGTTTCCGGACTCGGTCGGCTAGGTGGACCGTGGTGGAACAGCCTGCTTCCCGAAGGCAGTTCTCTACCCTCTCCTCCCGAGAAGCCTCTTCCTGCCTGTCCGGCAGACAGACTGTTACCCCCGACGCCCTGCGTTTATCTAGACAAACGGAAAGACGCCGTTTCTCCCGAATTGGCTCGCTTTTGCCTCTCCCAACCCGTTGTGGTTGTGCGGGGTCTGGCCGCTGCTCTACGAATGGATTTGGGACTCTTCTCCACCAAGTCTCTTGTTGAAGCTAATCCCAATCAGCGGATTGAGGTACCAGAGATTTACATTCTCAAGTACTGCATCGTAGAAATACATCTCTTTTTCGTTACTGTAATCCTCATCTTGTGAACTTTTTCTGGTCTTTTTCTTGTAGGACGCCAACCGGCCAAAAGTATCGACACTAAGGTTCAATGTTTAATTTATTCCGGAACAGTTAGCAGTAAATACAGACGCTAATCATACTCAACTTGGCAAAATTAGTTGCAATTTACTGAGAATACATAACTTAGGTTTTTTGGTCACGGTTATCGAAAGACTGTTCATTCACTGTTTGACCAGGTGGAATAATTTCAGCGCGTACCACACTATGACATACAAACGCTAGCGTGGGGTCTGTTGATAAAAGTAGAAACTGAGGTACACTTTATGTACAGAAGCTACGTGAACCGTTTTAGGGTTTTTTGATTAACTCAATGAAAAAAAATATTGAAATAAGTTTTGTAGTTCTTGGTAAAGCACTATTAAACGATTGTTTAATATTTGGTGGAAATTACTATAAGCTAGGAGCAATTTTGGATGCTCGGTTTAATTAAACACTTCTCTGTATTTTTTGTCACGGTCTTACCACAAACAGCGGACATCAATCAGTACTGTTTGATGAGGGCGACAAAGTAGAAAGCTCATTCATGTAAATAACCAATTAAACTTGCCCACTTCAGATTCGTACGCAATTAGCAAGTGGTGTGGATAAGACTCAAGCAGCACCTTTGTCCTCGACACCCCTGGGTGAGCAGAGCCCTTGGTACTTGGAGTCACCGCGTTCCCAAACAACCATCACCCGGTACGCCAACTACCAAGCTGCTTCTTTCAAGGAGGCCCTGAGGGAGGAGAAACAGGGTCCTGGGCATCAAACCTCCTCCGATTCCACCTCAGCAGGTTTGGCCTCATCGACCCTTGAACTCGATTACTTTAGCGTCAATCTTATGATTTGTGTTTCTTTTCTTTCACCAGTGGAAAGAGACTCTGGCGCGTTCGCTAAAGGGTGAGTCTCAGATTTTTCCGCAGGTGTGATCGGGATTCTAGTTGGGGCTTAGTAGGGCCTTTGTTCGTGATTTAGGAAGAGTGAAGGTAAACCCATTCTTTCTACTCCGAACAAGTACAAGCAAGTACGGAGTTTAAGAAATGGCTTCTATTTCAACGTATTTACTTCGGGCCAATAGATTAGGTTAGACAAGAGTTGTGCAACTACAAAGCTTATATTTTCATCCACTTTCTCAATAGCTTATATTTTGTCCTACTGTAGATGGGTCAGGTTGGGTTTACACAGCACCGCGTAATTTGTTTGTACTTATAAATTTTATCGGTTCTTCAGAACAACATTAACAAAGTTTTGTACAAATGCAAGTATTTGATGAAATTGTTGGTGAGAATTGTCTGAATAGCCCTTAATCCTTCAGCTTATATGTGCAATAGAGGCTAGTCTACTGTCAAAATGGTATTTTAATTTTTTTTATAGAACGTCATATTGCAACGACCCAATGCAAAGGGCACCGAAGGTGTCACCGGGAGGGAAGTCCGCTGGTGGTTCTGTCACCCCGATATCACCGCGGAACAAGTTGATCCGGTTTGGAATTATCTGCGATCTTTCCGATGAGGAGAAGTGGCTGCCACAACTCCATGAATTAAACAAACTCCCCACCATCTTCAGGGTCACCTCTGCTGTCAACATGCTCTCTCACGTTGGTTATCCCCTCATTGGAGTTAACACTGTACAGCTTTACATGAAGGTGAGTGATTGGTTACTTTCTGTGGATACGAAAACAAATTGGTTGCCTCTCAGGAAATAGTCTTTGCCTTTCCAACAGCCGTTTAAGAATAGTGGCTTTGGCTCGGTCACATCTTGCTTCAACAAACTTATGGTGTGTTAACGCGAATTCCACAACCAATACATTGTCTCTGAATGTACTGCGCAAATTCACTTATTGGCTTGATGAACCTTAGCCTCCAGTTGAGGGATTTTAGAAGTTGGTGGTGAGCAGGATCAGATGTAGGTGACAAATTCGTTGTTTGATCAGTGCTGCATTGCATGTTGTCGTCATTCATCAATGCTATGTGAATTACGTGAGTTTGGCTATCTTTAGTACAGTACAAAGTGAAATAATAACTAGTAGGATTTTGCCTACGAAACTTTTATTTAATCAAGTAGTTTCTATGCTACGCCGTGATCGTCCAGATATCATCGTCAGATTGAAAATGAGTCCGAAATAATTAGTTTATCGTAAAATGTTCATTTAATCAACAATGTAAACACTTACGATTCTTAAATGAGCATACGGCTTGCTATCGTAAATGCATTATTCTCGCAGCTGTTTGCCGGATTGTAATAACTCGAAAAACTCACCTTCCAGCTGATAGCTTTCTTATGCGAAAATGGTTCCGAAACGTACCACTAGAATGGTGTCCCTTGCTGTGCCGCAGATCCCTGGCTCGAGGACGCCAGGTCACCAGGAGAGCAACAACACTTGCGCCGTGAACATCAACGTGGGTCCGGGCGACTGCGAGTGGTTCGCAGTTCCCGAGCAGTACTGGGGTGTGCTGCACCGACTAACCGAGCGTCAGGGTCTAGACTTCCTCACGGGGACCTGGTGGCCAGATGTAGAGGAGTTACGACAGGAGGGTGTTCCACTCTACCGATTCCTACAGAAGCCCGGCGATCTCGTCTGGCTGAATGCCGGCGCGGTCTACTGGGTGCAGGCCCTGGGCTGGTGCAATAACATTACCTGGAACATCGCCCCTTTGATAGCCAGGCAGTATCAACTGGCCGTCGAGAGGTTCGAATATAACCGTCTGAGGAATGTCAAGTCTCCCGTTCCCGTGATTCATCTCTCATGGCAGCTAGCCAGAAATACTCGTGTGGGGGAAATACAGCTCTACGAGCTCATAAAGTGAATCTCAACGCAATTTGTCTTCTTTACGTTCTTTAAAACTACCTTTACGCTGTACACTGTCGTGAGATTATTTTGCGGTTTTCATTAACTCGATTGCAGTCATCTCTAGTGATGCTCGGTATAGCTTTTCTAATGGCTTTCCATTTTGACCAGTTTGTTTGCCAACTGGCAAGTGACCATTGTTGCTAGAGAATGGAGATCTTACTACCTTGCAGACACACCCTTCTTCGCACTATGGTGGATTCACAACTGATGTTGGACTTCTTGGACCAGCTTGAAATTCCGGTTAAACGGCATGGCAAGAAACCGGACGACATTGCACATTCCTGTCAAGACTGTGAGGCGAGTGGGACATTCATGCATTGCATGACTCGATCCTCTAGGCCTTAAATGTTCCCTACTCCAGTGTTGAAAGTGACAACATAAAAAAAGAGCTAAAAATCCTAACTTCCCTTTCAAAATAATCCTACCTAGAGATTTATATTAGCCCAAAAACTCATTCAAAATGGGCTCCATTCAATCCAAAATAGGGATGGAATTCGTAGCACAAATATGATCATTAGACCCTAGTTTGAAGTGGCCTTAAAATGCAAATTCACATGATAGAGATGTCCGAGTTCATTCAACTGGACCATCCAACAGCTATAACATTGAGCTCGCATTGTGATTTTAACAGAAAACTTCGGTTATGCGCCACTTTTGTTTTTTTGGTAGACACTATAAAGAAGTGAGTTTCGAATGCACTAAGAGTGAATTTGCCAACTTTCTGGCCTTACTTGTCGAATCATGTCGAGAACGCGAAATGGAAAGTGCCAGTTTCAATAGATTGGATTTTTTGGTGTCCTTTTAAATATCTTTCACCTTGTTCATTAATATAATTTTGCAGTCCGCACATGCGAGGTGTGGAAGTAGTCACGTGAGCTTTGATTTGCAGATTGAGGTGTTTAATCTGCTCTTCGTGACGACACAAGAGAAGAAAACGGAGGTACGGTGTTTCGCGTGCGCACGCCGAAGTGACCCCGGTCTGCGCTCATTTAGCGTCCTGTCCGAGTACTATATGCAGGAGTTAGCCACCATCTACGACAACTTCCAGTTTCAGGTGGTAAGCTCATTTCGCTTTGCCGTTTCCAAAGCGAAATGCTGCCATTCAACATCTGTACTCCATATATATATATATATGTGTGATTATTCACTTAGAGGCCAGTTCTGGTTTGATGTTTACGAACCTCTTATCCAATTCACATCAACAACGCAACAAATGTCCAGCATTGACGATAAGCATTTTTGCCTTTTTTTCGATTTGAGGAAGTCAATTGCTAGGCCTTTAAAAGCTTGGCTTGGGGTGGCCTGTCAAGTGAAAGGCGCGAAATGGAAGCTCAACTCCGAAGTCTTCTGAGCCTGTGAAATTTATTGCATGATATCCTCGGGATGAAACATGTTTCAGTTTTTTGAATTAGAGAAACACAGGGGTTTAAATTTTGCTCTTATTACCAAAGTTGGCACATCATCCCTCGTGATTTCAGAGTTGGCCTAAGGTGCTATACTCGATACTCTACCCCTCCTTTTAATGCATGCTAATAGGTCTTAGCTGCAGTGATTTCGTAGTAGTAAACAGATTTGGATTTGGCCGAATAATACCCTTTCCAGTTTACGATTTCAGCTACACCAGTAGAATGGTAAGTCACTTAACTTCTACTTACGATCTTTTCAGCAACCAGTGGCAGCTTATTCGGTGGTCAAGTAACCACCCTGCGTACCATCCCCTCGTTTTTTTATAATTTGCACGCCTCGTAAATAAAAATACCACTGTAATGATATCTCCCTCTGTATCCTGTCCAAACATTCACCATTCTTGAATTTGTATTGTCTTTAAATGTATACTTTGTTCGTGCCCTCACGAGTCTTTACTTCATGGCACGAAGGAATCAGTGGTTTTGAAAATGAGGGAAATGATAGATCTAGCCTGTGTTTTTAATCAAAAGGAATGCAAATAATTCCTATGAGAGTCTTTAGTCTTGACTTTCCGCCAGTAGTTTCTCACAGGTTGGCAAGACGGTGTTGAGCCAGTGGGTGTGCCAGTCCATGTCTGGGAATTGTTTGAGCTCATGTAGGTTACGTCGGCAGCGGACGAGGTCAGGAGCATCGCCAACACCCTCAAAGTCCTCCTTCGGCATCAGGAGGCGCGTCAGGTGGTCGGTCAGAGCCTCTGCCGTTGAGAAGTGATACCCCAACTGACCATTTGGAAGTAATTCCGAGAGGGCTGGGTAGGCCAGTGCAAGGACCGGTACTTCGGCGCCTATTAAGTCCACGATCTGGTTTGTGAAAAACCGGCGCTCAGCGTTAAAAGACAAGCTCCAACTAGTGACGTTATACAAATCTGTAATCCGCTGGTTATGATTATATGGTATCCCACATGCGCGTATGCATATTTCACTATTGATGCGCGCAAATGTATTAATTTTAAGTACAGAGCCAATTATTTTGGGGAGTACACTTGCCTTCATGGGAAGGTCGAGATTCGAGGTACTGCGATGTAGACTGACACCCAAGTCGGCAGCTCCCAGAAGTAGTGGATAGTCAGCCCATTTGAGCCAAGGGGTCAGAACATCTACGTGCTTCCAGTTACGTTTCTCTATTGTTGCCTGAAAATGCGACTTCAGTGGTCCACGGCCTAGGAGAGCACGATGTTTGCCAATGATCATAATATGGTGTGATGACGACAAAGGAGACCCAATCATACAACAATAGGGCTAGGGAAATTACCGCCCGGCGCAATAAATAATGAAAACCAAATTGGGGATGTGGAATCATAAGAAAGGATTTATCCTTATTCAATAGGAGCTTCCAGAAATTGTAAGGATGGTTCATTAGGAGTGGCGATTTAGTTTAGCAACATTTTGGATGGATTTTGAGTCTAATCTACCACTCTCACATTCAATCGAGACACAACAACTAAATTTCGTGTAGAGAACGACTGTTGGAGAAGTACAAGGGAACAACATTTAGCATTTGTCACATTGACTCATAGCTAAAAGCATTCAATGAGCTAGCTCATGTAACTTACCCAGACTTCACTCACCAGTAACAATACAAATGAGCTTATGAAAGTAAATATTAGGTGAAGAGGTGACAGTGGCATTATAGCTGTCCAAGGCCTCCAACATGATGGCAAAGTCGTCATCGGGGGTCCAGGAACAGCTGCTGACGAGGAGGGCCGGTCGATCAACACGCCATCTACAGGTACCGGACGACGAATCGACGATCTCAGTAAATGCAGTGCTTCCAGTAGATCCCTCTGGGCCCCTCAGTTGCGGATAATCGTGGGAGAGACTAAAACAAACCAATCAGTATCTGGAGAATGAGGTAGTATATGTCGCTGGACTTGTTATCAATAGTGCACAAGAGAGTAAGTGAGCCCAATTTCATCTAAAGACTTTTGAACTGCAAATGAGATTAAAATAGGTCATTCAAAAAGTGCTCTTAAGCAAACAATGGAACTTGTATCAAATTGGTTAAAATAGGGTCAAATTCGTTAAATATAGACCCTTTTAAAAACATACTACTACCATTTTGAGGACACCGATAAATCCTTGATAAAACCTTTATAAGCGTTTTAAAAAAAGGAAACTAACCGGCAAAAGAGTTTGTGTGCATCCTCAATCGTAGTAGGTTTAAAGTCCTTGGTTGGTTTGTCGTAAACAACTACCGCATCAATGCCTGTTTGTTCACGTAAATCAGCTCGAAGAGCTTTGGCAACTGTAAAATGACGAGTCTTCACAAACGCATTTGAGTTAAGAAACCAGGACGCAAATGTCAATTCCATGAGCTTATACATTCTAAGGCAAACAGAAGTTACAATAGGGTAATGAGTAGTACCTTGAGGCAATACTTCTCCGGCCAGAGGGGGTTTCCAATATCGTATAACCATAATTGTGCCAATCGATGCAAGTTGGACACTGCTTCAGCAGCGCAAAAAAGTACACAACTGAAAGAGTGGGTGCCGCAGGAGGAGACTGAACAAATAGCAGATCTTCTTGCATGTGTATAGCCAAGTGGACAAAGAGACAGATAGCTAAGAAAATGCTCTAAACCTGTTTTAGATTTGGTAAAAGAAAGGGACTACATACCTTGAAGATAAGCGCGATAAATCGTGGAAGGTAGACATCCAGGAATGCGGGTGGTTGGGAGAGGTAGCAGTAGGTAATGCCATCATCGGAAATCGACTCTACGCCCCGATAACCAGAGAATTTAACTCGCCAGCCCTCCCTGGCAAAAGACCTAGCGTGATTTTTTATGCGAGGGGATCTTGTGACATCACCCAATACCAAAATACGGACTGAAGGCTTGTCGTTCATATCAGCATTCTAAAACGAACATATGCTTTGGAAAAGTACTATTAAAGTGCAGAGTTAAATAAATCATATCAGCAATAGAAAAATACAAAATCATGGTTAAGAGACATTCCATAAATCCAAGGAAAAGTGGAAAATCCAAAAACCCAGCGAACAAAATGACATCTCTCTAACAGCGATGAAAACGTGCCAAATAAGGCTTGGTAAAGGAATAAATACACAAGTCAATGCTAAAATACATGCTTAATCTAAGAGGGCCCGCAAATCAAAAGAAAAACAACCAACATAGCATATCCATAGGTTAATTTTTTTACAGTCCCGTTAAAATAGGTTCGACATAAATATGAATACCCTTTAGGTAATAATAAAACTGCGATTGCTGGTAAAATAGGTCAAAAGAAAATACGAAAAGACTACACCAGAAAAGATTCACGAGTAACAGCAGAATCCAAACACCAACTTGCTCTGACCATGTCCGGAAGTAAACCCTAGGCCCGGTTCCATAAAAGCCTGCTTCGAATCTCGGTGGGTAAGAAAAACAAGCGCTCAATTAAAGGGTGCACTGTAACAATAAAAGGCACAAAAGATATATTTAGGGGAAAAGTCCTCGTCAGAATAGTGATGCATTTGTTCATAACAGTAAAAAAGTATTAAAAATCACCTTAATTAGCCAAAAAGAGGTCATATTAAACCTGCTTATTTAAGGAGTATTAGCTAAAGTCCCTCCAACAATAACCTGATCAAGCAAGCATTAGCACCATTTACTACTGCAAAGTTATCATAGAGGCCTTAACTCTAAAGAGATATTTTGTAAAATGGGAATTAACAGCCGAACTTCATGACTAGGCACGGGGACTGTGATGTGTTAGTGTAGCTTCCCGAGACTCCCTGAAGACGAAAGAAGACAAAATACTCGGGCAGAATATATATTCAGCGCAGAGAAGGTCTCTAGGGTATTGGCACTGTTCAAAGGCCAGCTCACTCAGCGAAGTACAAGAGGGCTAATCCAAAGTACAAAAGTGGTGCATCACCAATAACGAGGGATAAACCACTATCGTATCACAGTAATGCAGCGC